AGCGCGCCTGTTTATCTTGAGTTCAGTTCTTGCACAAAGCACTCCAAGAACTTTTTGACCCTGACTCGCGATGTCTCGCATTATATGCGCTCAGGTTCGTTTTTTTTTTTATTAGCTTTATTGTCCTTGTTTTGTTTGCGCTTTTTAACCTTTTAAATTAGCTTGTGCCTCGCATACTGGCCTGGCAAGCACGCGCCGCTGGACTGTTCTTTTTTTTCTTTATGATGGATTGTTACATCTTGCATACAATTTTGGGGACCAGATGGCGACGGAGCTGAGTGGCAGAGTTTCGGTTTCGATCGAACAGCCGTCTCCGCTCGCATAACGAAGCGCGTGCAACTGAAAGCTTCCGAAGTTGCCCTCACCTCACGTGCATGCAAACATAATTGCACGACAGAGGTACCAGCTGGGACGTTTGCAATCCATTATTTTACATTTGCTTGCTGACGAAAATCTGGCATGTCGGGAACCAGTGTAACAATGGGAGACGTTTTGGAATTGCTCGGCAAAGCCTACAGCACTGTACACTTGTGGGATGTCTCAACGTCTCTTTGGAGACATTGAAAGTAGACATTCATTACTTGCCGAAAGCTAAGCGAGGATTGCAGCAGCCTTGCAGAAAGTTTCAACAAGCAAAAGGAAAAGCACTCACCAGTCGTACTGTACCTTTTTCATGTGTACAGTTTCGTATTGTATTGCAGTAGTCACGTGTTTCATCAGTTGGATACTGCTTCAATTTATTATATTATATAACTAGTGAAGTTTATGCTTTCATATTTACTGCTAAGCTGGTCATTTTCAGATAAATTTAATATGTGCAATTTGGTTCTTATTTATCTATAGCGGGTACATATATATATATATATATGTCATTTAACTGAAGCATTGCAAAATATGTTGTGTCATTGGCATCTCAGTCAACAACTTGAAAGACTCCCAGGTCGTCTAACTTGACAATAATTTGTTTATTGTGGCGAGCAAAGTGCCCTTCCTTTGTCCAGCACTTAAAACATTTTTTTTTTATTTTTATAAAAAAAATCTGTTCCAAAAGCCACTTTCTGCTGCTCCAAACCACTGTTTTGGCTGCTCCAAAAGGTGCTCCAAAACGGCTTAAGCCAATCACATCACTGCATTTGCAACACTGGGAAGGCCCCTTTGCCAGCCTGCTTGCTCATGGGGCTGTTCACGCATCAATTTGAAGGTGTTGATTCGTGCATTTTTGGTCTTTTATTTTGGACATTGCTGTCGGATGTCGCGGAAGATCAAACTTCGAAGCTGCAGGCACTGTTGCTTACCGGACTGTCGCAACCTTGGAAGCTTAGCAGGCGTGTAGCTCCACAGGTTCCCGTCGAGAACGTGGAAAATACAACGCCGTCGGAGATAAATAAATTCCGTAAAAGGTGTAACATAGCATTCTGTTCACATTACCTGACTTGAGATGGATTTCTAAATGCGGTATTTCTTTCTATATTTCGAATTAATGCGCTCGAAGCCTGGCATTGTCTTTGGACTCAATGCGATGACCCTAGAGTCAGATCAGTGTTTTAACACTCTCATTGCTCCCTGCTTCAAGGACACATCTTGATCGAACAATGTTTTTAGGATGTTTGATCGTAGTTACTGAAAATCAAAGTGAGCGTTTTCTCCGCTTCTCCGGTCGTGGAGCGGACTGTCGTTTGTGCCTTTAGCGTGATCTGCCCAAGATGGTAGCTCTATTTCGACCCGTGTCTATGCGGTTCTAACTTCATCCCCGCTGCGAGCACACAGTCTACTCGAGAAATAAAAAAAAGATGTAGGTATACTTACCCCACGAGTACAGGTTACTCATGTGGCGTTTATTTGTGTTCTATGTAAAAGAGCACAGCATATTCAATTGACGAGATTGAGTATCAGCTTGCGACGAGTAACTGCGTGCGACACCGTCCAAACTACTGCCAGCTTGCACGAAAGACACATTCCTCGGACAGCATAATTTTCTTCAACACGACGATGAGGGGACTGGAAACAAGCTGATCCCAGAAGTGAGGTCAGCTATTCATGTGGGAAAAGATCACCTGGAAAAGAAAGGGTAGGTGAGGGTGAAGGTGAGGGAAGGGGAAGGGGGCGCTTTTAGTTCCATTTTTGTAGAGGAGGGGAGCTCGACAAAGTCTTCGCTTTTATAAGTTTGTGGAATGCGGAAACAATGTAAAAGAAAAAAGAAGCAACTGCCCTTGTCTACTTGCTTTCACTTATACTTGGCCGTAATATCAGAATGTTCAACTTTGTTCTGCTAGTTCCTGTTTTGGGTTGTCTCAGTCTATTGTGGAAGGCACCTACTAAAACTCCCTAATGCTAGAACCACGCCTACATGCACATTTATATATTTAACGTTTGATAGATTCAACAGTCGGTAATGTAGCGCGCGATTACACAACGCTCAGAGTTGGTGATAACGTAATCTCGCAAGGGTACGCCGGCGGCGCTGCCGATTTTAGCCGTCCCAGTGTTGCCTCATTTTACCACGGTGGTGCTCTGGAACCCTGCTTCTTCGAATCGGTCATTCTTAGTTATCGCACAAATATCTTCTTAGTGGGTAAGATGCTCCAGTGTGTGAGCATTGTGGGGATACGCTCACCGTCATGCATATCTTGTGGCTCTGTTCAGCTTTGGACAATGAACGTTGTACTCACTTTTCTGAATTGTTTCACTTCCAAATCCCATTCCATCCTGCTCTTTTACTGGGTGAATATCGCCTCATCCCGATTTGAGCCTGTGTTGTCTTCTATTACTAGCACAGGTTTTATTAATCAGATCTAGTCCTGCAGAGCCAATTGTTATTTTGTAGCACATTAACAATAACAGCTTGTTTTCTTTTTTAATTTTGTTTGGCACAGTATGGCCTCCGTAGCTGTTGCGCCATAAAACCCCCAAGCAACAACAACTCTGGAACCCTGCCGAGCGCCTATACGGGATCGGCACGCCTTCCTGATACCATGGGTAAAAAGAAAGCACTTGTTTCTCAAAGATATGGCAAACCTGCCAAAGGTATCGTCGGCACATCTTCACTACTACCTATTTAAGCCACCTGCACCTAGTACCTGAGACCAACTTAAAACCTACAAGTCCTTAAACGCAGACGACTGCTTTGTGAATGGCAAGGCATCGACGATGGGTACCCACCTCCCCCAGGCGCCAAAGATATGCCCGAGTTTCCCGGCAGGGGTCGCCAATCTGGGTCGTGGTTTTAGTAGACAATTTGGTTGTGTTCGGTTAGCTTTAAACTTGAAGCTAACCGAACACAACCAAACTCGAGAAAAGCAGCTATCGAACCTTCCCATTCACTTGACTGCAACATTGGTGTTCCCTCCAGTGAAACGCCTCACCTGTGGTCCTCAGTCCACTGTTTTACATCCTTATAAAGAAACCACTTATCAGTTACCAAGTAGTCGTCACTTTGAATGTGATTCGAGACAGACAAGAAATCAAAACGTTTTTCTGTGCCCAGAAATCGAAAGCACGTGACCATGTGTTCTGGAGTAAAAAGGCTCTCAAACACGTAATGGAAGGAAACAATCTGCGGAGGCTTCACCACACTAATGAACACTCAGGAAAGCTTAAGAAATTTTTGGACCTTCATCAAATTACATTGTTTGCCACCGTGCCGACAACACGTGTCAGCGAAAGCCACCAGAGACGCGGAGGGGCGCAAAGCGACCTGGTCCGGCTGGTTGCCGGTTTTCCCGCTTGGTGGCATCCGTTTTGCTGGAGTCGCGAATACGGAGATGGTCGGTCGAGCTGCCGCATCCTTGCGTTAGTCACATTGCGCCATCTGTTGGCAGCACATTGAAGTAGGTGAGCAAAGTCTCCTTGGCTGCGGTCACTGAAGCTTGCCGATGCGCATTGGCAACATAAAAACACGAGACTGGGGCATTTCTAGAGCGTGGCTCTCGTGCAGTTGCTCACTAGTGAACCAAGAGTCATTGTGCACCCACCTAAACACAAGGTAAACTAGAAGACCTGGAAGTACCTCTCTCCCCCTGTCATGAAGGCTGAAAGTGGCACGAACACCCTGCATGGACGTGAACGGGTTATAAGCTGGAGGTAAACTCGAACCTTTCCCATATAGGTGTTTTGATTGAAGAATGGATTTGATACATGCTACTGGCATTTTCTTTTTCTTAATTGGGTAGAAGTGTGCAGCCTATAGACCATTCCATTTAGCGCTCTCTGGGCGGCACCATTTTGTTCGACAGCAGTGCCCTTTCCATACATCTGGGAAATTCAGCTGGTTTGGCGTGGTAAAACGAGAGAGGGCACGCGCCTGACTCCGCTAGCAGACGACAAACCAGCAGGTTGCCATTCTCCATCTTTGGGTTGTATTGGCGGGCTCTACCGAACATCGAACTCTCGCTCGTGACTGCCGTTGTGAAGTGGTTCACGTTCTTAGAATATTTATGGCTACTCCAAAATCACCCTAGAGCTCTCTGTTGTTCTACTTCAATAAATGATCAACTAGCATATCTTTTTTCCGTTACTTAAATAGCAGTTGAGTCAGCCGGCAGTACTACCCTCAACTACTGCGTGTATTGCCACAGGAGAGCACATTTTTATTTATTATTTCAGACTTCCACTCATGGTCGCTAAAGGCCTACACCAGTACAAACTTTGTATAGTAAAAAAGGTACAGCAACCGGATTCACTTTTCGCTGGAGAGACCGGCCAATCTGACACAGTTTTCCCTATTTTTTTTTTTTTGCACGCAGGTAACAGTGCAACTGGACCCTATTAGTCTTTTGATCTAGCATAGTATTACACAATAACTGGCATACCAAAATCTGCGCAACTGTGCTTGAAATTTCCAAAATGATGCGATTTTAAACAGAGTTTGTACGCCAGCCGGATGCAAGGCAGAGCCCACTCGGCGGAGCAGACGACATGCGGGTGAGAAAGGGAGGGAATTTTTTTCTCTTTTTACCCTATCTGCTATGACTCTAATGGAACGGTCTATATAACACACAGTGGCAAGTATTTTTTTTCGAGAGTTTGTATTTGAGGCAGCAAACAATGGCAAGCTATTTACAGGTGGTAACAACTTGTAAGGAAGAAAGATTCAACAGAGGCGACAATAATGACAACAACTTGCAGGTAACTTTTGTAAACTCCTATGTACACGAGATCACAAGGGCTTTTGAGATCCTGTTGGACTGGAGTAGATCAATTGATCTCTGTCTATCTTTTTATGCTGTTCGGTGCATTTATAGAAGTAATCTATGATTTGTGACTTTTTTAACATGTGAAACATGCCCAAATCTATCCAAGTGTAGACTGCTTGCTTTGTCATAGGACATAGATGGTTGATACGAAGCCTCACAATGATTTGGCACATTTACAGTGTATAGTGGGCCCGAACTTGATACTTTCTAGGGTCATTACGGATGTATCCCTAGCTCAGTCCAGGCACATGCTGCCATTACAGTTGATTGATCTCGTCTGGAAAAACTGTCACTTGACTTTGGGGGTTCTTGCTCATGCAATGAAAATTTTGAGTATGGCACTGAGATTGGCACGATAATAGGTTTCTCTGTATCGCTTCTTACAGAGCTTGAGCAAGAGCATTTTCCTTAACATGCTTCCTTGTGGCTCTACAAGAGCTGAGAATAAGCCTACAGTTGGTATGTGGCCTTGACTTCTGTGTCTGGAACCTTTCGGCTTCTACGACACAAAGTGTCAATGTCACTTGTTCTCACATTTCTGACCCCTGAAATTAGGTGAGTCTCCATCCACTCCAGCTCGGTCACCTTGCATGAGCAAAGTCTGCGTATAACTTCCCAGCAACAAAGGTGTCAACAGGACCTGGGTATGACTAATATAGTCCACTGTTGGAGGATTGCGGCAGTGACTACTTCCATTTCCGCTGGTCGGACCTTGGCACCAGAACTTCGGAGCCATGGCTGCACCGTCGTTTGCAACTGTCCACCTCGTTTCGCTGCGTTGCCCCGTCTTCATTTCATTTTCATAAACGGCAGTTGTTGGGAGCATGACAATGCAACATTGCATTGTGAAACAAACTCTGTGCTGTCGTTTGCTCATGCGACGGCCTTGCATAGAGGTGCCCTTGGCGTGACCTTGAGCTTGAAGGGCGTGGGGGTATGGGAGACTGCGACATGACCGTCCATCGATGGAAGGTTCTCTCCCGGTGGCAGCTCGAGGCTGTACCTCTGCACCAGGTTGCTGAGAAACAGGAAGACCTCCGTCTGCGTCAGGTGATTCCCCAGGCACATGCGGCGCCCTGGGGAAGAGAGAGGGACGCGCCCTTGAGCGTGATCGGCGTTTCACACTTGCTTGATGACCATTCAGTCTCAAGAAAAGAAACCCCCTGGGCCAGCTTCCTAGAAATAGTCTTGCCCAAAATTGCGTGAAAGAAAGCACTGCCGAAGTTAGCACTCGAGTTGAGTGGCATGTGAAGTCGAGTCTGAAGTGCGTCCGCACTTGATGCTCAAGGTCACATGTCAGTCTGCTCTCTTTCAGTCTTAGCTACGACGCTTTTTCAAGCAAACCGGCCCCGAAAGCCTCGGTGATGTCACCCCAAGAAACTTTGCCCCTCTAAGTCTGCAAACACTAGAAAGGAATTTATATTTTAAATGCGTTGAACACAAATGTCAAGAAGTCTGCTAATATATGGTGCCGCAAATTAATTTTACGGAAAGTCTGCCTCTCATGCTTGCCCTGGCTTGATGTGAGGATGGCTGTGTGTGCCAACTGTCTTGTTGAAAGGAGTGTCACACGCACAACGTGTGACACTCCTTTTTGCAACGTTTTTGGTTCGGGGCACGTGCGTCCATGAATGTTTCAAACTACGTCTCCTCTGCAGCAAAGAATGTTGTTAATTTTTGGAGCAACAAGGGTAATTATATCATATTGTTCTCCGGCAAAAACACTGGCTAAATGGAGGCATAGGTACACAGGACTTTTGTGTGAATAATTTAGTTGAGAGAAATATGCTTCGTACACCATGATGACATTAGCCCGAGACTGGAGCACGATAAAAGGATACCCAAGTTTGAAGAGAACATGCACAAAGATGGACGCACGGTTATGGAACCAAATGAAGATAGGATTATCGACTCCAAACTTCAGAGAAGCACCACTCACCAACCGAGAAGGGCATAAAGAAGTCTGGCTTGTGCACCCTGCCATTGACTAGGAAGCGCCCTGGATTGAAGAGCTCTGGCTCGTGCCACAGCTCAGTGTCCATGTGGATGGCCCAGAGGTTGGAGATGACGTGCGTGTCCGCTGGAATGTGGTAGCCCGCCAGCTCCACATCACTGCGGGGTAAAGGGTGATCCTGCGATTCCTTCTCGAGATTCAACTTGGTCCTTCACTAAAAATTGCACGGAAATATTTCCAGATATATCGGCTCGTTGCTGACTTGGCTGGTTTTGGTCCACTGAGTTGAATGCACATGTTCTGGTGTGGATATGCCTCATGGTTAGCACAAGAAGCATGTGTTTTCTAAAGAACGGTCTCACCATGGGCTCTCGAAACGTTGAGTGAATTCATTTTTTCTGAAGTGATTTGGGTTCACTGGTCGTGCTAAGTTTACCTGGAAATAAAAGCTGTCCTACTACTACTGAATGGAGGGAGGATATTACTTTATGAACCATTCCTTTATTATTAGGAGGTATTTTAGAGCAGTAGTGACCTATGAATGGCAATTTAAAGAAAGCCCACGATAAATTGGGTCTAGAATTTTGTGAATGGTTCCAGTGTCAAGATCTCATGATGCAGGGTAGGCTCAAATAGTAGGGGCATTCTTTCCAGCATCTTTGGAATGGTTACTTCTATTGAAGCAGGAAAAGCCAACCTCAGCCTTCATTGTCATTACACGGAAAGGGTTACTATGACAGAATTAATGTTTGGCCGACTGTCTTAAACAATTGCCTTCCAAGCAAGATATCCAAAGCAACATATTGTCTAAATTCTTGTGGTCGTTAGCACTTGTACGTGAACATTACAGCTTTTGAGTCTTTGCTGATGGTCTATCAACAGGGGCATCTAACTTAGAGCCCCTAACAATCTCGCTTTCTCATTCAGATTGCCTTATCCATAGCATTTACCTGTGATGCCACAGAGCGACTCTAGGAAGCTTTCAGTAGATTCCTGGAATACTTCCATCGCATATTACCCTCGGAAGAAAGCAGTGGGAACCAGAGGATCTTTCCTTGCAGCAAGAAGCATGCTAGGGGCATTTCAGCAATACCCATGAACTTGCCATTGTGTGTGCCTCGCGCCTGCTAGCACCAGTGGGACATCAAAGCATCCTCGTTTCAAGGTTCTAGGTGACAGTAATGGCTTATGAGTATAGTGGTGACTTCTACAATGGAAATGCATTAAGAGGGGAGGAATCATGTTTGTAAAGCTTCTAGGTTAGATGGCACAAGCTGCAGACCGCTATAAAGGGCACAGCTGTTAATATTCATCCATTCACCCAGTCTTAGCTATGAGAAGGTCTACAGACCATCAGCAAGGTGGTAGTGCCCAGAAGCCGTAGTGGCAAGCATTTACAAGCCCCCATCCACAAGGTGCACGCAACCTTATAGTTATGAGTGCTGACCAGAGCGTGGCGTGGGCATTTCCGAGGGCGATGACGTTGGCCCGCCGTAGCACCTCCAGGATAGTGGCCTCGGTGTATGGCAGGGCCGGCAGGTCGGCCATGGTTGCCCGTCTCCCGTGGGGCCTGACGTGGGCCTCGATCTCGTGCCGCACGCGCTCTTGCACGTCTGGATGGCGCACGAGGAAGAGGATGGCCCACTCGAGGGTGGACGTGACTGTCTCCAGGCCAGCGCTGAAGATGTCCATCAGCACCTGCACCAGCTGCTCCTCTGAAAATATAAAGAATATCATTAGGCATGGCAGAAATCTTTGAGGATTATTTTTTTTATAGACTAAGGGCATCTGTTCTGATCGGTTTCTGGTTGGTGGTTAAACAATCGGACACTACGGTAGGGCTGAATGCCACGTAAAACAATATATATTTTTTTTAATTTCTACTACCGGCTGTTAGCTTTCACAGACAAAGATATAACCAACAAGTTGCAGGAGTTTCCACTCTACAATATATCCGCTGCTTACAAGTACTACCGACAACCATCGTATTGCGGGGCCCACCTGAACCACGTGCGGGTCTCATAAATTGGCGCATTTTACGCTACTTTCAATACAAAACCATTCGAGCGGCTTTACTCCGCATTACCTCACGGCATTTGTCGGTCTAAGGCTAAGTCTGCCTGTATATGGAAACAAGGTGCATGTAGGATGTTCCCCACAATTCCTTGTGTGCGGCCCTTCGTTGTTTTTGCAAAAGATCATCTGCAAAGGGTGTCCCCCGAGAGGACGTTGGGGGGTCGTCCTCACCCGAGAAGTAGGAGCTCCCGTCCCGGTCAGGCGGGCCCCTGGCCTTGTCCTGGGCCAGCTGCACCAGGTAGGCGTCCACAATGTCCCGGACCGTTCCCTCGACGTAGGACAGGCGGTGGGCGTCGGTGATTCTCCGGAAGTAGTCCGCCGTCTTGCGCCGGTTTCGCTTGATGCGCCGGTAGGCCCAGTTGGAGCCCGGCACGTAGCGCAAGGCCGGGATGAAGTTGACGGGTACGGCGAGCGTGAGCAGCCGGAAGCCTTCCTCAAAGAGTGCCAGCAACTGCTCAAACTTGGAGTCTCGCGACGAGTAGGTGACGCTCATCAGAAACGATCCCAGGATGCTGCTCACGGCGCGGGCAATGGAGTGCCGCACCTGCGACGAGCTGCCTTCGAACAAGTCGACTGACGCCAGGAACTCCCCGATGTGCACCTAAGGGTCAGAAGGGCGTGCGGCATGGTTAACTGGGGGCTCCAGCAGTTTTTCAAGCTTCTCAGACTGAGTTTGTTTGGGAACAAACTCAGTGGAGCCATCCATTGGGTAGCCTTGACACACTTCCTGTTCATGTATATTTCCTCATTTTTTACTCATCATTCTTGTATCATAAGAGTGAATTAGATCTAACAGTGCTATAAGTGGCCATTTCCACAAGATAGATTCTATATTTGGTGTGGCAAATACGGCGAAGTACCATAGAAGGCCAGGTTATTGACATTTATTTTAGATTCTACTGTGTTTTCCCCAGCATTGGTTTGTGGAAGCTCGTTAACTCCCACTTCACTAGCTCGGTATTTTGGTAAGATAAGAGTAGGTCAGCAATGGTGGCTGTGATTTGACATGTGTGTAAAGATTCTTAAAGTTAGACGCTGAAAACAACAAGGACACAAGAGATGCAAACTGACAGTCTATAACTACATTTTTGGAATGCTCGGGCATGTTGCAGTGGTTAGTGTTTCAGGCGTGTTACAGTGATGTCTCATTATTACGCACCACGTTAGAGGGGTATGGAAACTAATGTTTAGCGCCCTTTTACTGTTTAAATGTTGATTGTGTTGTGGGAATGCTGCGGAGACACCAATGTTTTGTTTGAGAAGACAAGAAAACGTCATTCAAAACGAATCGAACGCCTTATTTTTATAGCTATACTCTGTTTCACCTTGTTTTGTACCGCAGGAAAGGCTACAAGCGCGAGCTCCTTGCTCTAGGGCACATCTCGGCGGCACAAGCTCTCGTGCACCAAGGGCAGCTCCCAACGCTACGAGCTCGCGCTTCGAGCCTTCGCAGCGGTACAGCATAAGGTGAAACGGAGTATACCACTATGCTCTTTGTGGATGTTCCCAAACATTCTTGTAATGTCGTTGTACCAATCGGTTAATGTAGCAAAAAGTCTGAAGCGCTTCTAACTTGACAGGATAGTGAAGGTGGCTAGTGCGGGTCCGCGTTGTTTGCTGTCAAATGTGCCTTCTTTAAACCTTTCTAATGTTTACAAAATCACAGTCCAGTATGCGATCTTTACAGCCCAGCTCGTGCATGTTTGTCGCTTCAAAAAACGAGTAAAGCATGCGCCATACCCACGAACACTCAAGATGGCACCGGCCACACACTCTTTTTTGAAAAGGTCTATAGCGAGCTCGTGCCTGCAGCGGTTGCTGCCGCGTGTCATTGAAAGCGGCTTTGAAGACCGCGTGCTCGTAACTTCGGCTTCGCTCGCACCTACGATAAAAGACAATATACCGTATTTACTCGCAGAATGAACGCACTTTTTTTCCCGAAAAATCGATACAAAGCTAGGGGGGGCGTTCATTACGCGAAGTAAAATTTTTGCGACCGTATTTACTCGCATAATGAAAATGAAGGGACCTTTTATCCTGTAAAATCGAAGTAACTTCTTATCTCTTTGTGCGCGGCGCCCGACCCCGTAACCGAACTAAACTGTGCAAAAAAAAAAAAAAGATTTCTTTTTTTTTTTTAATTTTTTTTTTTTTTTTTTTTGCCGCCTTTCGCAAGCTGTTTCGTTTGCTTAGAGGGCTTCTCCGCTCCTCTTTCTTGCCTCCTTGCGCGGGGCGCGCGACACTACGTAACCAAACTGCGCTGTGCAAAAAAAAAAAAAAAAAAAAAAAAAAAAAAAAAGCTTTTCTTAGTTTAGTGGTTCTTTTTCTTTTTTGCCGCCCTTCGCAAGCTGTTTCGTTCGCTTAGAGCGCTTCTCCGCCTCTCTTTCTTACCTCCTTGCGCGCGGCCGCGCGCAAACCCAAAGTCCAGATTGCTCTGGGAACAAAAAAAAAAAAAAGCTTTTTTTTTTTTTTTTTTTTTTTTTCTTGCTTCCTTGGATCTTTGCGAATTTTTTTAACGCCTTTTGCAATGCGTTTTGTTCGCCCACGCTGCCCATGCATTCGCGACCTCGCTGCACCAGGATAGAAAAGTGCGTTCATTTCGTACGCGTGGGGGGAGGGGGTCAAAATTTTGACGTCCGAGTTGGGGGGCGTTTATTACGCGAGTGAAAAAAAAAGTCGAAATTTTGAGAGCCGACTTGGGGGGTGCGTTTATTACGCGAGTGCGTTCATTGTGCGAGTAAATACGGTAGTTGGTGGTGGCTTTTGACTGGCGCACCGACCTGCATCTTCTGCTCGAGCGCCACGCTTCCGGGCCGCCCGTGTCTGGGCACGAAGTCCCTGAAGACGCGGTGCAGGAAAGCCCGCTGTTCTCGCCACAGGGCGCCTGCTGAGTTCACGATGCCTGCAAGCAGAGAAGGCGGTTTTTTTAAAGGGCAGCTGTTAAAGTTGTATTCCGGCGATTTTTTTTAGCTATCCCAACTAACTATATTTTCTGAATCCACGGCTTTTACCCTTTCTGGTAGGCTATTTAGTATCACAGAATTCATAATAGTTATTTTGAAATTCGCAAATGAAAATGTTGCAAAAACCAACATTCAAATGTTCCCGCACTTCTCAGTGCTGTGATGTCAGTGGAGGGCAGGCTTGCCAGGGGAGCAAGGAGTCTAAAAATAGACTATGCCAAGCAATTATTCCCTGCTGGGGCATGGGTACTGGAGCGAGCTTCCAAAGCATTCATTTGACACCATGAAACTGCTTGTGGTCAATCAGTGGGGAAGAAAATCTAGAGTCCAAAGGGTGAACCCATACCTTCCACTGGCGTCATTTTTTTGTTGTTGACATTAGAGACTACCAGTTCGAAAACACGGTGAGGGCCAAGGTTGTAAATTCAATAACTTCGCAATAAAACAAATAAACGAGTATTTTGACTTAATATTTGGGATACTATTTCAGCAATGTTTGTTGGTGTGTTTGGCAAATCTAGCCAGGCACGTAGCCAGGGTTTTGTGTTTGGGGGGGGGGGGGGGGGGGGGAGAGGGGAGAGGGGAGGGGAGAGGAGGTCCCAGCAAACTTGAAGATTTCGGGGGGGGGGGGGGGGGAGATTTCACTTCGTGCAGCCGCGAGTCAGTACAGCTATAAAGGGATAAGGGGTGTTTTTTTAGCTTTTCAACGGCATCTCCCAGTTTCACCTTGCGTACTCGGGCGTATCAAGAAAAACAGTAATTGAAAAAATGTAATTTCGTCAATGAACGCACAAAGCAAGTAACAAACCTGCTGACCAGCAACACGAATATAAAGTTGCGAGCTCGGTGTACGCAAACTTATTCGTTGCTACAGCGTGTTGACTCATGCACAAGCAAGATCCCCGAGTTTCGCAACGTCGAGATTCCTAGCACTGGCTCGTCCACATACCTCGAAACGCTAACAAAAAGGCTCGAGTACAAAAATAAACAAGCATGTGTCAAGACAAGCTTTACATATGGTTCGGGCTTGTGCTGAAGCTTCGGGGTCTGGCCATTTAGGTTAGTTTAGAGGCCCAAAGCGATGCACTCGGGACCAGGAAACATGAGATAACGGTTGTTTATATACCATGCTCTGTGTATGATCTCTTCTCGGCGTGTCAATCGAAATCGAAACCATGCCGCTCTCCTCCCTGGCCAGCTAGTTCCCAGAGTGCAACGCGCACTGTGTTGCTCACAGGGACTTATGGAAGTAGTCTCTTGCTACGACTCACCATCATCATTAAATCATATTTTTCTTGCACTTTTTAGATGCACGGTGACACACTATAAACATGATTTTTATATCTTTAAATGACATTGAGAATACTTTTTATCTTTCCGAAGCAATTTTTTTTTCCCCGAAAAGTGATTAATCTCAAACCAGACCCAAGTCTAGCTGTCATCATCACCGCCACAGGGGTCTCACATGAAAATATCTCATCCCCGATTGGCTGCTGCCGCTTCAGACGTCTCTGGGTTGTTCGAGCTGCTCGCCCGTTTCGTGCCGGACGTGATCCGAGCAATTCGTGTCGATCTAGGGAAAGCTAGAGAACAGCCGTCCAGCAACCCCGAAATTGCCGGGAAAGTTGTCCCGTCTGAAGCCGGCCTTGGCGCTCGTTGTTGGAGAGAAAGGCTGGTTCACACGCTTGCGACTGATTTCGACCAAGTGACTTAAAACCACGGTGAAAATGGAATAAATCAGATTTATTTGATTGAAATCAGATTAATTTTATTGAAATCAGATTATTTTGGTTTAAATCAGACTAATTTGATATAAATCGCTCTAGCTTTGGGAAAGCAATTATTTATTTCTAAATGTATCACGTAATGATTGACCAGTCCGTCAAATACAGACGATAATTATACTATACTTTTAAAGTGCACTTTAGTTTAAAACTTTTTATCGTTGTAAATCCTGCCATACTAGAATAAAAACAGCATGGTCTTTTTTAGTCAGTAAAAAAAAAAAAGCTTTAATAACATATTTTACTCTTTGGTTTACTCGTAATATGGCATTACTTGTTTTCGTTTCTTTTACATTATAACCTGCTTAAAAAAAAAAAAAAAAAAAAACAGCAACAACTAGCACAAACAGTAACTGATATACAAAACGGAAGGTAGGAACAAAGCTCAACATTCCGATTTGATCAGAAGTGCACTGATTTTTGCTCGTGTTCAGCCTGCTGCAATCTTTCTTGATGATTCTTTGATTTAGATGCGAAACAAATGCACATAGAAAACATGCAATAATAGACAGATAATACTTGTATGGGAAAGGTTTGATTTAAATCATGGTAAAACTGGTGTGACTTAAATTACGATTGATAAATCACGATGTAACTCACGATTTAAATAATTTTATATATATTGTCGACCCTGCTTTTTAAAACTTATTGGGATCAGTTACAACGTGCGTATCCACTGTCTTTATCTATCGGGTGCCTAAGGAACACTTGGTATTTCCGTATATGTGCTATTTTGTTTTCGAGCATTCTTTTTTTTTTTATTTATTATTGGTTTGAAAAAAATTAGAGTGTTATAAACGACCATTTCTCATAGGGGCATTTTATATCACGAATACTACAAAAGGCTTCACTTTAGTTAAATGCAGTTCCAGGGCCTCCTCATAGATGGCGCCAACGTGCCAGTATGTTGTCGGCGTCCGAGATCACAGAACTCGGTCGTAAGCAAACGCAAGTGTGCACACGAGCCCCAAAAAGCCCATAAAAAAGTTTTTCTTTTTAGCAGTTTGGTTGGGACACGCATGTCAAGAAATTAATTTTAGGCGTTCTCTTTTTAGAGCAATAGACCGATCTCACCAGTCAGTTTGACAACGCTGCCGCAATGCAGCGGGGGAACTTTAGTCTTTCTGCACGTGCAATAACTTTGCTGGAGCTCTGCGCGTGTGAAACTCGAGAGGGCACGAGCCCTTGCATGCATGGTCGTTTGCCTCCCGTGAACTAAAGTACAATGTTACTAAAGTCATGGTGGCGTCACGCATGCGCCGAACGCGTGGTGAGATCGGTCTATTGACGGCGGGAAATTTGCTTTAAAATGTGCGCGCAAAGTCCATGACGTCACGGAATTTTTTTCGACCTCAACAAGATGGTCATACACACTCTCCACCTCAACGAGAAGGCCAAGCCAATCCACCTCTCCACCACGCGCCTGAAGTGCCGAGAGAGAAAACAAGTGGGGAGGAGGTTCCTAACGACTGAATCGCGTCTCGCGCCATCAATATTGGGGTAAATTAATTTTTCTTGTAAAATTAATTTTTTCTAATCTGCGTGTCCCAACGCAGCTGCTAAAAAAAATTATTTCGGGGGCTTTTTAATGGGATGCTGAACCGAAATTTTTATTTCAGAAAACCACACGGAAGCGCTAGGCGCTACGAACCCCATAGCATCACTTGTGAAACGATATCTCCAACGGGTTTTTTGAGAAGAGCACGCTTGAACAAGGCCAAAAAGGCCCGTGACGTCACCGATTCTCGTTTCCTTCTCGCTTTGACTCCGCGAGGACGCGAAGAGGGAAGGAAGCAGGGCCGTTTCCCCTCCCCCTCAACAATTCCGCAGGAAACGCGAGGTCGCGATTCTCACTCATTCGCATCCTTTACGAAAATACGGCGATCCGTTCGAGATATCGCTTTATGAGAGGTGTTTTTGGGGTTTGGTTTGTACTTACGTACATTCTTGTACTCGACGTACATTATCCGAGCATGTACTAAAGTATCTTTTTTCTCGTACCTTTCGAGCAAAGTACAACTCCCGACTTCAGAGTACATTCGCCAAATTTGGCCTTGTTAAATTTTTATCACAAAACGATGCTTTGTCAACTGTGAAGAAATACTGGGAGGAATAATCTCGCCAGGAACGCGAGGAGACGGCGTTGTCAGCGATAAAGGTGGAAGGAGGCAACCATGGACTCGCTCGGGGCGAACCTGTCACGAAGCCAGTGCAAACAACTACGTTTATCACTTATCATTTGCTTTGTACTTCAAGTACTTTTTAGATGTACTATCACGATCAATATGAGTGCGAACACCGCTCCGCGTGGCCCGCAGTACTATCAGTGCCCTCTGTCGACTGTTCTTTGAAGTACACCTGCACCTTGGTTTCGAGGCATTTCGTCTCTAGCGATCGCCGCACCACTCTGCACTTCCGGGTCGTCTGCTGCGAAAAACGGTCGGCGAAACCGCGAAACCGTTCACCAAGGACGAGCATTTTTCGCTAGCAATGTGCGCCAGCAAAAATAACTCGTATAAACATCTTTAGGTTCATGCTTTTGATTAGGAAGTTTTGGTAGAATATTAGAATATAATAATACCCGATACTTCGCCGACGACTTTAAACTTGCATTATATTGTTATCGGAGGTTTCAAAACAATCAACTAAGCTTGTTCTGTTGGTCAAATCGGTAAGTGACATTCACATTAAAAATATCGCAAAAAAGACGGGACAAAAAAGATGAAGAAACGCTTGTCCTGCGTGCTGCTTCGCCCTTTTTGCCCGCTTCTTTTTTGCTGTATGTTTAAAATCAACAAAGAATGCCTCTCATTAACTGCGCGTGAGTTTGGCGATAGCAAAAGACCGCCAACTCGCTCAGGCAAGAAGTTGGCGCGGTGCGAGCGTGGGTGATACCTTTCATCATAAAAAACAGCGCGAAAGAAACAGACGGGACCTCCTCGTTGTCTTTTCGCGCTGTTTTCCATGATGAATTCCAACCAACTCGCCCTAATATCCATTCTTCTAAATGATACCCTTCGCTCCTTAGCACTGTAAAAGCAACATGACACAGCATAAAGTTCAGTGTCGCTGCGGGTTATCGTGCGATGACCAGACCACTACTTTGCAGCTCGAACGCATTTGTCAGGGGAATAATCTACTAAAACTTCCTAATCAAAAGGATGACCCTAAAATATTTATACTAATATTTTTGCGGGCGCACATTGCTAGCGAAAAATGCTTTCGTCATTGGTGAACTGTTTCGCGGTTGCGCCGACCGTTTTTCGCGAGCAAACGGTCCGGAAGTGCAGAGTGGTGCGGCGATCGCTATATTCCGTGTCAATAGTTGCGTGCAGTGCAGGCGAAGGCAACGCCAGGCGAAGAGAGAAAGGGCGAGCACCACGAAGGCGGGACGGGAGAGGAGAGCGAGGGGAGAAAGAGAGCACTAGGAGCTTTACAGAGGAGAGGAGGATTCTCTCCTCCTTCCCAGCCTTCCTAGTGCTTGCCCTTTCTACCCTCGCCTGGCGTTGCCTTCGCCCGCACTGCACACAACTAGTGACACGTAGTATAGAGACGATACGTCTCGAAACCAAGGTGCACGTGTACTTCAAAGAGAAGTCGACAGGGGGCACTGATAGTACCGCGTGACACGCGGAGCGCTGATCGCACTCGTATTGATCGTGGTAGTACTTTATCGAACACAGGCAGACACCTACGCGAAAATGGCAGTTCTGATAGGCCACGTACGGCTGACAGATATCATCATTGGTCAGAATATCGGCGAGGAATTCGATGTTTGCGCTCCCTTATCTTTTACGGTATCCGGTTTGCTAGGAAAAGCTACAGGAAAATCGAAACTTCCGCGCGATTCAAACGAACGACAGTTGAAAATTGGTTTCAAACGGCGAACGTGGCCGCCGTCCCCCTCTTTTTCAAACGAAACAAGACTCGGCACAGCAGCGTGGAAGGTAAACAAAACGAGTGGTGAAATTGGAGCACGAAGCCATCGTAGTCGCACAGGCGGCGGAACGGCCGATACGTGAAGCACGTGCGTCCGCTGCACGGACCGGGTCATCGACCGCAGGAGGACGGCATGTGGACCAGTTCGGGTCCCGTAACACTGTTGGGGCGCGAAGGCGGGAAAGGCGCAGGCGTCGAATTGCACGCTGTCCGTCGGGGAAAACGCGAGCGTTTGAGAGCGAGTTGACGTTCAAGTTTCTAGCGAGTGTGTGCGCGGAAGTATTGTATACGGTGGTAAGGTACGCGCGATGAGCAGTAGTGGCAGCTAGCGCTGAGCGAGATTAAATCTCGAGGCAGAAACGCGTCGGAGGAAGCGTGCGTCCCCTCTCACTTCCGCGAGTGCAGTGTTTCGAGTACGTTTATTTGTCCAAACACGATTCAACAAAAACATTTTTTTTTTTTACCTTCTTCGTAATCATGTTTGGACAAACGCAAAGTTGATGAATTGCATACTAAAATTATTACTGTGTCAAGATTCTCGGTCGCAGACGACATCCTGAATGCAAGCTTATTTGATTTTATTTTTTGTCGTGTTTTATCGATATAATCGGTTAAACTTTGGTCACTGACTTGTAATGGACTCACGAGTGGGCGGCTGCTTACTATAGAAGCGAATTAAGCGAATATGCACGCGCAGCGAACTTCCCATACCTGCTGAACGCGATATTTCTGCGGCTGGCTTCGCGTTCTCGCTGCGCGTCTGCCGTTACACCTCTCCGATGGGAAAGCTCGCGCGCGCGAAGATTCTGCGAACCATAGCCCCAAGACGTGTGACCCACCGTATCCCTGGAGCAGCTTGGTGAGCTCGGTGTCCGGGCGGCCGGAAAACGCCGCCTGACTGAAGGCCCTGCGCACCAGCTTGTGGTCGCTGATGACCACGACCCGCTTGGACCCCAGGAAGATCTGGTACACCGGACCGTACACTCCGGCTAGAGTCTGCAGGGTCCGATGAAAGTCCTTGCCCAAGAAGGGCAGGAACCCTACCAGGGGCAGCCCACGAGGTCCCGGAGGGCATCTGCTCGAAGACCGGACCCCTTCGGAAGAACAGTGGCGACCCTTGGAGCCCGACGTCGTCCATCGTCGGACGAGGAGGAACGCGGCCAGAAAGGCGGCCATGGCCCACGAGTTGGGTGCATCGAACCACGGTAGCACCATGGTCGGATGGAGGAGGGTTTGGTTGATGGCCCTGTTCCCGCCGGCCGCTTTTATAGCGCCGGTGACTGGGGGGAGCGAGGAAGGAGTTGGACAATGGGGGCGTGTTTTGTCGTCTGGGTGCTGCTTGTCCCCTTCTGCCGCGGTGCGTGCTGCTCCTGTGCACTGCCGGCCCATTGGGCGGCTGGTGTGCCTGCCGCTTCGGAGCCAGCCGGTCGCGTCTCTTTTTTGTGTGTGCGCTGCGTGAAAGGAGTGCGGGGGGACCTTGTTGTGGATGCTTCGTTTTTCGGTTGTGCGTTTGTTTGACGGGGAGAACGACGGGGTCGTTGGGGACGGCGAGGGTGGAAGATGTGGTTCGTGTCTTGCCGAGTGGCGGGACTTGGGGCTTTGGGGGGGAAAACTGCTTTTTCAGCAGGAGGCACGTTCGAGCGTCTCTTCTGGTGGCGGCGCGTGGGAACGAGGGGTTTGCATCTGGGCTCAAGTGCACCCGTTGCCGTATTCCTGCGTTCCTGTTGTTTTCTTGCGACGTCCGTGCCGCCGCTTGGCCGCGCAAGCGTGCTTACTGGTCTCCCGTGGCTGCCGGCGACGCGCCGCCCCGTGCGGCGACGTTCCACCACTTTTACAGGGATCTGATTGCTGCGCTAAACTCCGCCGAACTGCTTACCTTGCTATGCCGTGCTACAAATCGATACAATGTTTTTTTTTTTTTTTTTGCTAACGTTGCGCAAGGAATTATTTCAGCTTCTCGATACTGTAGCCGACACCTCGGGCCGCGGTACTCTGTCATAATGTTACGGTAAACGTGCAAAAATTTTTAAAACGTAAAAAAAAAAAAAAAAGAAAAAAAAGGTTGCCAATAACGAGTTCCTCGACTTGGTCATCGTGCAGAACGCTAACTGCACTCGGAGGTTCCGCTCTATTTCTCATTGTTCGTGGTACGTCCAAGTGGCTTAGTTCTGTTGAGTGCCCGTCTCTTTGCCGCGCACGAGTACAGTGCGGAGAAGCGACATTCACGAAATGGGCAACAGCAGCATATAGATCATTTGCCATGAACAGCGCAAACAGCAACGTTTCTAATTCCTCACTGTTTCTGGCGAAGACTGAAGTTGAATTTCTCGTATCAGAGATGACTCCGTCGACCTGACTTAGCATTTTATCTTATCGTCTGTTCACCCCCTCCTCTCTTTTTAGTTACTTTCCCTTGCCTCAATTTTCCCGCCTTTAATCGGTCGCTCCCTTTTGGAACTTTTGAAAGATGCGGTTGTGTCGTCATCGTCCTACGTGTCCATTCTTTCTTTTCAGTCTTGACTCGCGCCAACACGCTGATCGTCTAATGTTAGGATGAGTTGTAGGTTGCGTTCTTAGTGACCGCCAACGGCTCACAGGACCCGCGTGAAGCCGCGAGCATGTAAGCCTTAACCCTTTGGAAAAACCTTGACCGAAAGCGATATCCTAGCTTTATCAGTTAATGTTTTTTCTTCGGACGTTTCCTATGTTCACTACCGCTCAGCCTCGTCCTTCTGTCGCTCACTGTTAGAAAATAGAAAGGTCACTTTAAAAGAAAGGACAAATGGAACGATCAACAATTGACACAAATGACGTTTCTACGTAAAGCGAATACCTTCCTCTCATTCTCCTTTCACCTGTTCCTTTCAGCATTCTGCGCCGCCGCCGTCAAGTTAACTCGGTGATTCATTCGAGTTCTAAGTTCAGTGCACGCGCCTTTCTTCCTTCTTTGTATTACTTCCTCTTTTTCTTTCAACGTTTCACAGCTACTTAAAGGGGCACTGACACATCAACATCGTAATTTATTTTATTATCCGAAACGATTGAAAATGATGCCGGGACATTACCCTCAAAATTCGAAACTTGGGAATTCAGTATTTGTGAATTAAAAAAACAATTTCCAAATGCCGAATTTGAAGTTCCCGCGCGATCCGCGCCAGCGCAGTGAGTCAAATTTTGCGGTCTCCTGCGACTCGACTTTCTTTTGGACCTCCGCACCACGCTGTGAAGCAAAGCGCCGTTGCTACCGCGACCCGAAGAGAGGAGGAGGTGAGCAGGCGGGATAGAAGGGAGCCGACGCGGGGAAATACCGGTCTTCCCCGACTCGGCGATAAGCCTCTGCTCGAGCGCCGCCAAGGTTTCCGAGGGAGAACACAAATTCAGGAAGCGACATCACACCGAAATCTGATTTTTGGTATTTCAAAATGAAAGGCCGTAGTGCGTTCGTCATTGCGTTAAAAAACATGTTTTACGATTGCCGTTATTAAATGTTATAGAAATGTCGCCTACAAAGCTTCTAAATTTCCTGATTTTTGACGTCACCGATCAAAAGGAGCAAGGAGGTTAGCGCGGGAAATATAAACGCCAAAAATAAAAATGCGCGCGCAGCGAAATTTTTTTTCGCGATGCGTTTTTTTTTGCGTGTCTATGACTACAACTTGCATCGTTTTAGACAATAAAAAAGAATACGACCTTTGGGGTGTCAGTGCCCCTTTAACGACGTCGACGTTGACGTCATCGTCGACGTTACACGACGTCAGGACTTCGTCGTGACTGCGCGTCGACGACGTTACACGACGTCAGGACTTAGTCGTGACTGCGCGTCGACGACGTTACACGACATCAGGACTTCGTCGTGACTGCGCGTCGACGACGTTACACGACATCAGGACTTAGTCGTGACTGCGCGTCGACGACGTTACACGACATCAGGACTTCGTCGTGACTGCGCGTCGACGACGTTACACGACATCAGGACTTCGTCGTGACTGCGCGTCGACGACTTTACACGACGTCAGGACTTCGTCGTGACTGCGCGTCGACGTTGATGGTGGCGAAGGCGCCGACGTTACACGCCGTCAAGACTTCGTTGTGACGTTGACGTTAACGATGACGTCAAAACGACGTTAACGTGACGTCATAGCGATGTTTGACGTTGCGTGGTGCGTCGACGTCAACACCGGAATCGACGACCACATCCACGTCGTCCTCGACGCGGCGCGCGACGTCATGACCGCGTTGCAACGGCGACTTGATGTCGCGTAACGGCGTCGTCCTCAACACGACGCGTTGTTACGACCGCGTCACAACGGCGACTTAATGTCACGTAACGGCGTTGTCCCTAACGCGATGTCACGACTGCGTTGCAACGGCGACTTGATGTAGCGAAACGGCGTCGACCTCGAAGCGACGGGATGTCACGACGGCCTTACGATAGCATCTTGGCGTCGCGTAACGTCGTAGTCGACGATGACGTCGCGGCGTCGTCGTAACGTCACGTCGTCGTGTCGTGGTGCTTTGTTTGACCTTACCTCTGACGTCAAAAGCATAAAAAGTACAATATAACCCTTAAGGGGCTATATTGCCCATAAGACCTAGACCTGTGTCGTTGCTCGATCGCACGTAGCGAAGGTGGCGTTGCGATCGAAGGGGCTTGGTTTCATTGATCGCTTTCCACATTTTGAGGCGCAGTTGAAAGGATGAACAGAGCCTGTAGCTCGTCCCACTCGCACTTTCTAGTACACCCTAATCTAGCTCAGTGCTGCGCTGTGCCGCCATGATCTTCCCAAAGGCTGCACGTTGCACGTGCCTCGTGCATCGACGCACCTTGCGCTACTTCTAAAACATGAAGGGGCTTTAGACTCCTGTCTGCCGGTCTAACTTTTCACTTACGGCGGCCGCGCCTCGTGGCGATAGTTCGACGAGTGTCATTGCAGGGAACGTTTGTTCAAGCCGCTCGTCTCTAGCCATAAAGACGTTCGTCGTCGTTGGAGTTTTTGCGCTTCATTATCTACTGGTTGTAAGAAATATTGTTGGGCGCGGTGACGCGAATGAAAACCATGGCAAAAACACTAATAGTGCATCAGTGTGGTTAAGAGTGGCAGGCACAGCTCGTCTCACACCGATGAAATTAAAAACGCAGCGTACCACGATGAACAGTTTAATCGAAAGGACGGTACAGTTTTGGCCAAGTATACGAGATACGAGTACGTGTATCCAAAGCGGGTAACAATAATTTGCGTCGCATGAAAATACTTTTCTTTTTCCTTTCACACTCGAAGCCTCCGCCGAGCAGTTCAAAAATGGCGCATTCTGCGCACAAAAGCCTTCCACAAGCCAGCCATTTAATGTCTTTGTCACATGAAAAGGTACTAGCAATTGCATCGAAAGACATTTGTGCGATCGGTGAATCAGCTTGAAATCCCGAGTAAGCGTCGCACCTGAAACGTGCCGTGTAAGGAGCGCACTCTCGTACAAATTCCTAAAAAAAACAAAAAACTGATCGATTACAATTTCAATTCCTCTCGCTTAAAAAGGCGTTCAGTTAGATTACTCGATTGCTTGAGACGGAAAGTAATTGTCTGTTACTAGAAAAAAGTAACCATTACTTCTCCGACTACTTCACATTTTCGAAACGACAGAGTTTTCTGCCGGTTTGAACGCGGGTCGTTCGTACTCTCTATTATTGGATTAGAATCACCGATTCACGACCTATTTATCTTCTTCATCAAATAAATGTAGTAAAGCATCCTCTTGTCGGAGACTTGGATTCAGGATTCCTTGGTAGGCAACTTCTACGAACATAGGTCGTCGTTAGGTAATGGAAGGAAAACATATTAACGAATACAAGCAATCGTAACGCTGACAAAAGTAATCAGACACCTCTCGCGAATACTTCCTAATAAACGTAATCAAATTATTGCGCAATTATTCGAAAAAGTACTGTCGAGACCGGTTATAACGAAGTCAAAAGGAATCGGAAATCACTTCGATATATTCGCTATTTCGTTATAACCGACTCCGATTATAACAAAGTGCGAAAGAGAATGGGAAATCGTTATTGCTACGTTGTAGCCGCTATTTCGTTATAACAGACCTCGTTATTACCGGTCTCGACAGTAGCAGATTACGAGTAATTTGAGTACTCGTAATGAGACGCGTACTAGTCTGTTGTGATCAGGACTGCAAGCGCTGATTTGGCCGATCGTTCAAATATAATTCGATGGGAAGGACACTGCACATCCCTAGAGCCACTATGCATAACCTACACTTCGGAGCAAGGACACTTCAGCCATCTTGGTGCCGACAATCATTCATATTCTTTATGTTTCTTCATTTGGAGAGGAAAGCTGGAAAAAATGGCAACTCTGTTGCTGCTTCACAAGCGGCACTTTGCGATTTAAGTGAGGTAAAGCAAAGCGAATGCCTCGTGTACCGTTCATTGCTGACAAGCGTTCCCGACACATTAGTTCCTAAGCGAACGACGCTCGCTGGCCGCCGTCCCTACTCTGCCGGTCACGTGACATTACCCCCCCCCCCCCCCCCCCCCCCCATAGGGAAATGTGGCTAACCTTTCTGTCGCGGTTAAAATTAATCAGCTTCGTGCAAACGGGCCCATAGGGTTAAAACGGTCCGAGGCAGAGCAAAACGACATCGCTCGATCTTCCTCACACCGCACCCAGAGCCTCAGGATGTCGCATTTTCATAACGTAACAATAGCCAATGGCGCCGGACTCCACACTAAGCACCAAAAGACAAGCGCCCGCAAGAAAATCAGAAGGTAGAGTCCCGATACTCTAAGGTTAGCTCATTTCGTGACCCTATAACTTGCTCCTCTGACAGGTTTGAAAGAGTTTTAAAAAATAGTGCTGCAAACAAAAAAGGGGGCTACAGTGCGCAGAGAGACCTTTATTACAAGATGAAGACACCAATACTCGATGAAAAACAGACACTGAGCTCATGCTTGTATGTGGCCGTCCTCGTCGCTTTGTCCGAGTTCCTGCTCTTTGGCGAATCCAAGGAACACCTGTTTCGTTGTAAAACAAACAGGGGGTCAGAAAGGTTTGAAAAAAAAATTGCGGTGGCTTAGCTCGGCTATGCCACAGGATATACGTAGCGTGAAAATATGCGCACAAAATGAGAGGCGCTATCAAGCGGCTCCGTTGCGGCGTCGGACTAGGCTACTGCGCAACAGAGGCGCACTGCTGGGCACGCGGCGGCGCCAGTGCATCTGCCGCGGCTATGACGTAACTTCTCTGGAATGTGCAGACCGGCGAGGCGCGCGCGGTGGCGGCGGCTCCGGCGCGCCAGCTGTGCGCCGTGTGACGTCACTGCTCCTCGCGCTTGCGCAGCACGGCTCTTTGAAAGCCACACGAAACTGCTCAACTTCGGCCAGTGTAGCTCACGCTACAAAAGGAAGCACCCCTAGCAGCACATTTCCTCGGCTCATACTTGGGGCAGTTCGGCGCAAGCTTGGAACAGAATTGAGCCAACTTGGCTCTAGCTCGCGACAGTCTGGGCCAAGCCTGGGCCGAGAAGTGTGCTATTTGGGACAGGACTTCTGAATTGATCCAGTCATAGTATAGCATAACTCTCAAAATTGTCATGCAATCACTACCCAGAACGACTGAACGTCCCTTTAGTTTTTTTGTGGTACGGACTGGTCGGCGAGGTAAGAATGCTCAGAATGATGCGCAGAAAGTTGGGGCACAAGCGGGCTGGTCATTGTCGAACATAATTTACTGAAACCCCGAGATTAGGGAGAACGAGGGATAGCTATGTGTTTTAGACTTCTGTGACGTGTCGTCCCCTGGTTTTCCCTATGATGCCTTCATGAGCGGTTTGCTTAGGGTGGAGACATCTGGCCCTTTTGTCCCAGACATTTATTTTTCTTTTGTGTTCAGAAGCGTGTGAAACAGCGCGTCCATGCGCGCGTTTGTGGCGCTGACTGTGCCATGGCGACATTTTGTTTTCGTCGATGTCTTTGTATTTTACCCGTGAGCGCGTGCTGTCGGCATCGGGTTACAAAAGGTGGCATCATGCACCTAAACAGAAGGAGATTGAGGCATCTTAGTTTTCCCTAGTCTCGACGTTTTAGTCAATTATAAAACAATGGTTCTGTTTTATGGAATTTTATACTTCGTGCTCTCCCGTAACATCGAAGACACTAGTTAAAGGGCAACTCCGCTCAATTCCGAAAAATTTAGGGTTCCATGTGATTCACATTCACAAAGTAATACTCAACAACTCTACGTCTTCGGATTCGCGAAATGTGGAATAATATTTGTGTAATCCTAATTTAAACATCAGCAGATACCGAAACCGAAACTTCGGTTGCGTCAGGCAACATTGGTCTCGGGTCGTCACAGTCATGAGCACCTCACGTCGAACCACGTGGTCTTGTGACGTTCGGGAGGGAGCGAGAAACAGGACACGCGACGCGGGCAGGTCCTTTTTTTTTCTTTTTTTTTTGGACGCGGGCAGGTCGCTTTGCATGGCGTGGACGGTGATGGCCCGGGGGAGAGGGGGAGGGGGAGAAGACGAAAGAGGAGAAGGGGAGCGGAGAAAGAGACCGATAAGCGCGCAGGGCAGCGGTGATCACGTGAACGCCCGGTCAGCCAACACCGGGAGGAGAAACTCATGACGTCATCGTTAAACTTCGCTCTCAAAAGTAAAAACAAGCAAAACGTGCGAATGAAGTATGCATGCCTCTGACGTAGTGGTTCAACGTTAGCCGCTCCAACTCCGTGGCATTGACTGCGCTGATGATTGCGCCTCGCGCCGCACGCTAGAGTTGGCAGATTTCGGCGACTTGGCTCGCTTGAAGGTTCGCTGGCCAGTTTATTAAATATATAGACGGAATTAGATCGTAATATTTGACATGGGGTCTTCCTATATGATACTGAAGAGGGCTACATAGTTTTCTAAATATCAAAAATGAAGCGGAGTTGCCCTTTAAGCATCAATCTCCCAAGAAGAGTACGCTCGGCGCGTTGTGCGGGGGATTTTAAGAGTTACCGACTGCCCAGTTATCGCAATTACTGTGAGGAAACCTGTCCAAGACCGGTTGAAATTATTCGCGACATATTGAATTCTGCATGATGGCAAATAAGTCCAGTACGTTTTTTTTTTTTTTTTTTTTTTTTAACAAATTGTTTATTGTTTATTCTTATTTTTCAGTGACCCACCAACAGCTTGACGCCTCCTTAGTGGTGCACTTATTCCTTCAGAAATGCAACGCTAAACACGATAAAAGCGAAACGTTAGGAAAAAACAATAGCCTCAACACACTGTCGAAATTTACGCTTTTCATCAAATATATCAAGGCTAGCATTCGAACAAATCTGTTCTAAATGGTTATAAGTCAGTTGTAGGCGTGTCATGGGTGCAGCATGGTAAAAGTCGATAGGATAAAACAAAGTATAAAGTCTACTTGACTGACGAGGAACGTGCAAATAGATGTGACTGAGTAGCTCTGGGGAATCAATTATACCATTTACAATCTTATACAATAATGTCATTTCACGAATTGTTCTCCTGTTGTGCAACGAGTCTAACTTCACGAGTCCACAAATCCTCTCAGAACTATAGAAATAATTCGGTTGAAAATAACTATCAAACAAAACACGAACAAACCTACGTTGAACACTCTCAATTAAACCTGAATTTGTCACTCCAATACAGTTCCAAACAACTGAGGCATATTCAACACGACTACGCACCAGTGAAGAAAACAAATGTAAAATACAAAGTGGTTTAGAAAATTGCGTGTCACTCGTGTAATGGCTTCCAGCACTCTAAAGGAAGCATTCGTAATTGTGGTCACGTGATGGTTGAAATTAATTGCAGGATTCATAAAAACGCCTAGATCACGGATGACCTCAACGCGAGTAATATTGGTGGAATCTAATACACAGGGAAAACTGAGATTTTCACGCTTCCTAGAAAAGGACATAACTTTCGTCTTTGACTCATTTAAGAGTAGGTCATTTGAAAAACACCACGCCGAAATAGAATCTATATCGCGCTGAAGACATTCACAATCGTCAACCGTTTTAACCACTGTAAACAACTTAATATCATCAGCAAATAACAAAAACCGCATGTGTTTAATACAGGAAGTTAGATAATTTACAAAAACTAAAAACAGCAAAGGACCGAGGTTACTGCCTTGAGGAACCCCAGAAGTAGATAAAAAAGGAGCCGATAATCGGCCGGATACTCGCACAAAGTTCAGCCGATGAGATAAGTAACTATCGAGGAGAGGACAGAACTTAAGGGACCCCGAAGGAAAAATCCATCAATGTAACCCTGTTTGGCAGTCAGTGTTTTCTAGTGGACCGCTGACTGTGCCTGACTGTACGTCAAGCATGTCTGATTGGCCAACAAGTTACTCTGACCGACAGTCAAACTCCAGTCAGACTCTGCTTGTCGGCTTTCTGATGGTTTCCTGGTGGCAGTCGGCCGCCGCGAAATTCCATCAGGATGTCTTGGTGGCGATTCTGACTGTACATCGATTGTCTCTGATTGTACGTCAAATCTATGATTACGAAAAGTAATCTATGCACGAGAAAACGATTTCGGGACGTGAGCCCATAAAACCGCTGACGTTAGATATTTGACACGCAACCGACCGACAACCTTGATCAGAAGCCCGCCGAAGCGCCGAAAACGACACTTCGCGACTTCGCTTCGCCCATAGAGGATTCGCCGCTTCTCCGAGCTTTCATGAACGATCGCTCTCGACTCGTTTTGTTTGCCCGCTTGCTCCAACCTGTTGGTCCTGCCAGGGTTCTACAATGTCTTATGTTTTAGTAGAATTTCTACCCGACAAGACCCAGCCTGTTGTGAGTTCCGACGATGTAAGGGACTTGAGCGGTGTAGTTGAAGACGACAAGGTGTACCAGGTCTACTGGGCCGGTGACGCGCGAACAAAAGGATCGTTCTACGACGCAAAAGTACTCTACATGGCAGGTGAGTAGAACTGAAGTACGGCGAGTGATATACGAGTGCTTTGCATAACATGCTGACGGCTTAACTGCATTTGCAGCCGAAGCATCTCGTATAAAATGATTAGTGAAATCGAGTTTCAACAACCGCGCCATAGCGTAGCGGTTAGGGTGTGCGATTTGTACGCAAGTGGTCGCGGGTTCGAATCCGCGGTTGTCCTGCTTTTTTTTTCTTTTTTTTTTCTCAAAAATTTTGTTTTATCGAGGCATTTGGCGATATTTATGAGTGTGTATAGCTTTACTCTTATATAAATGCTGCCCTTGTTTATGAAAATCCCTTGGCAGTGGCAGTCAGACGTCATCTGATGGACCATTAGATGACGTCTGATGGTCCATCACGTTCCACCAAGGCTGCTGACTGGCAGTCAGTGTCCCAAATTACGTACCTTGATGGAATTTTCAATAGGGACAGACCGTAACTACAGAGTTTACTCAACAGTAATCGGTGATTAACTTTGTTAAAAGCTTTGCTCATATCAAAGCAGACTGCATCCGCTTGTCCTGCGCTATGGACAGATGGTACAATCTGATGTAGGAAGGAACACAGGTTTGTTTCTGTGCAGCGGCCTTTCATGAAACCATGTTGCTCAGGAATAATCTTCCGACAAAAATATGCGTAAAGGCGGGTGTGCAAAACAATTTCCTAAACTTTAGAAAAACTACAAAGGAGGGAGACTGGCCTATAGTTGTTAACCATGGATCGATCACCCGATTTATGCAATGGAACAACAACAGAGCACTTCCAAGCGGTAGGAAATGTTTCAGATGCAAGTGATAAGTTAAAGATATGAACCAAAACTGGACAAAGGAGTAAAGCACAACCTTTTACTATGAAGCTGGGAATTCCATCTATTCCCGTAGATAACTTTGGTTTCAATTTTTTTATTGCCTCCATGACTTCAGATTCATTAATTGCAGCAACAGTCAAAAAATCCGTGCAGTTGATATTCGAACTAGGCATTAGGCCATTATTTGTACTGAAAGAAGCACTAAAGTGGCACGCAAAAATATTAGCGACATCAACAGGGTCAGAGACGCAATCCTCATTACCTCGCAATGTGATCGTGGTAACAGTCTCTCTGATGCTCTCTTTGACAAACTTCCACATACACTGTGGCTGTGTGCTGAATGACTGCTCGGCGATGTCAGCATGTTGTTGTTTATCTCGCTTAAACAATTGTTTCGCCTCTGCACGACATTGACTAAATCTCGTGTACCAAACGACATTGCCAGTTTTTTTGTACAGGCGATGATAGTGTAGCTTGCGCCTTAAGCAATGACTTAGTTCATTCGAGGACCATATGGGATAGTCACTTTTATGAGACACCCTCTTTGGTATAAAGAGTCGCATGCTTTCCTGGACAATAGTCGAAAGTGTGGAAGTTGATGATTCAACACACTGATCAGCTAGAACACTACTCCAGTCATAGTCCCGAAGATACTGATACAATGAATAGTAATCACCGTTGGGGTAGGAAAACCATGATTGTGAATGGAAAATTTGCTTGGCAAGTGGGAAGAAGAATAGTTAACTAGAGTTCGTTCTCGCAAATTATGCTGAACGTTGAGCATGCGAGACTCACCTGTTCCAAGGTCGTCTGGCTGAAGCTGAATTCTTCTATGGAAAACTTGACCTTGGCTGTAACCGCAGAAACAAGCGATGTATTGGATGTAAGATAATGAACTGCTACTTAGTTACAGTGTTCACTACCCGGGAGCGAGTGCCGCTACAGTCGGTGACAGCTTAAGAACGTGCGTGTTTTGAGCACCTTCTAATGTGTCCCAAGCTCGTGTGAGAGCAGCATTAGTCGACAAAAACGCCAAAGTCTGAATCACGGAGCTAGAAGGGAGAACATCGCATTTCCTAAGCTGCCAGATGCTATCGAGGAAACGGCTGCACTGTTATCATTACAAATGCAATAATATATTTCCATACAAAACTAAACGAAGGGAAAGCACATAAAAATACATTTCTGAGACATATTTACTATATTTACCTACAAACTACTCCGTGCAAAACGTCGTTAATCACGTTTCCGTGATTAACACAGAAACCTAAGTAATATCTCTAAAAGATATCAATATTCCACGTCAATATTTAAAAAATATATATATATTCATCTTTAATATTTTTTTTTTAAATTTTACCGAACTCCTTGCTATAACTTGAAATAACTTGTAATCGCGAAATGTTCAGTAGCATAAGACCTCCTTCTGAGAAAAACAAATACAAACCTTCACTCGATGTGAGCTAGCTTAGAAATTACAGAGAAGACGCAAGCGATCTGGTAAACTTTCAACATTGTAAAACCCAAGACTGCTGTAAAACCCGAGACTGTTGTCCCCTTTCTTCTTCTTTTTTGTGTCCTAAGTCTCGGGTTTTACAATGTTCTTAGCATGTCTTTGTTATAGGGGCTTTGCCGCATGACGTCGGCTCCAAAGATATATGTTTTAACTCTTTAGAGTGTTTCTATGTGAGCTTATACAATAATGGTGCGAATCATATTCTTGTACTTCTCTAAACATATATATGACAGCCCTTTTTTTGGGAGGAACACTCAGCTGTATATGCCCGCCGTAGCTAATATTTCCCAGATACGGTACCTAAATTAAGTTCCTTGTGGCGTGCGCATTACCTAGGTTTCACTATCGTACTTGCACAGCGTACATTCCCCATAAATTCACGCACGCAGTGATAATTTTTTTTTTCATTTTACAGTAGGGCTATAATATGTACATGGAATATTTAAAATTGCAATAAATTCTTTTTGGACAAAACAAACTGCAAAAACACATTAAGAAAACACGTTTTAAACACGCATTCACAAACTATTTTGCAGCACACAATTTTGAGCAAACTTTGTAAGATATAGAAAAATATGCATCTTGAGGTCACTTCCCGAATACATAAATAAAATTTGCACAACCGGCTATGTTTTGTTATGAATGTGAAAGTTCATTTTATTCTTTAAACTCCTCTTTAGAGTCTGCAATAACACTGACTAACTTGTGATGGGAAAACATTAGATAATTTACAATTTCGCGAAGAAAAAAGGAATCGAAACATTTCACTGAAAGCAAGCCGACACGACTTCGTTTCAGGTTTTCTACTACACAATTCCGAAGGTTATAAACGTTACCCAGGACATTCATGTTAAACTTTAAAACATTTTATTCAGAAGCAAGCCAGTTTTACTGCGTAGAGGTAACTTCTAGAAGTTACTTCTACGCTAGACGTAACTTCTGACGTCATTACATTAATTTATTACTTTTATTACTTTATTTAAGATTCACAAAAACAAAACTGTCCCATATTGAGAATTCTCTAGGCATAAGCAATTTTCAAAGTTTGTGTCGCGCAGGTTTCTATGTAGACTTGCGGCCTGCTTGCATATAACGAATTCCATAGGTGGGAAGCCTGAATGCCCTTCACAGGTTTCCCCGCTGTCCAATCTGCTTGCTTTGCCGTACGAAACTCACTAGCCTGCACCGCAGAAATGTCGAACATGCAGACATTTGCGACTTTTTCACGGAGCACCTCCACGCGGTCTTTGGCCTTAAGAATCGTTGGTCCGAGCGAAGATCTTAGGTTAGTCAGCGTTGAGTGATGTTTAAGAGCACCACCCATTCAGTCACTGGCACTCTTTCCATGTCCGGCGGCCGAGAAGACCCACCTTACCGAAGAGTACGGTTTCCGCGACAATTCGCGCTATAGGGACCGAGTTTTGACGAAAATTATACCAGACCAAAATTATATCAGAAAAATTGGAATTAGTGATTGTCAAAATAATCTTGTATTGCCTCTGTGGGCAGAAGGGCATGTGATGCGTCAAGCGTTGTACCATCGCTGATAACGGCAAAGCTTCGCGTGCCTTCCGTGGAGATGGCCACGCGTGCGACGATAAATAATTGAGGGGTTTTTGTTTCAATGAAAGCTCTACGCTTCGGATAGATAAATAAGAGTCCAATTTTGGCGAAATAAAATTGGAACGTCACTCTCTTCGTTGGTAGAGAGGTACTTGTGTCAACGTATAAGTTCTTGTTGAACGTCACGAACGTAAGAATACCTTACATACTTCTCGCCCCAAGGTTAAAGCTCTCGCAGAAAGGCGAGAGTGTCCATCACTCTTTTTAATGAGCTCCCCAGTTTCCCACAATGCGAAAAAGACGTCCTACTCCTCGTCAAGATGAAGCGGCTCCAACGAGATGGTCTGCATCCTGGGGCACTTTTCGCAATCGCGTAGACTACAGTCGGCTTGTTGACCAGTGCTGAGGCCGAGGCGCTTAAGGTCGTACTTGGTAAACGCCTTCCCTGGGGAATTCTAGATTGCCGTTAGAAGCAACCGAAAATTTTCGCAATAAATGCAGGCACACACCTCGTGCTCGGGACTTTTTTTACCTATTTTAGCCCCAAGGCATACAAATTTGAGATGCCGAGTTCACGATGAGGACTGTCCTTCCTGAACAGCTGGAAGGCTTCTTTTCTGAGCGGGTCATAAACCTTTTCGCGATTTTGTTCTTTTTGTCATTGATGACGGCTATGATGACGTCCTTTTTGCTTGGGCTCTGGACAAAGCGTGCGAGGTCGTCGTGCGTGTAGCACTCAAGTGCAACCCTCACGTCTTTGGCATTCGCCTTTTTCCCTATGTAGGGATTGGGGGTTGTCCATGTGCCTCCTTTCCGCTTCAGTCTCCTTGTTACAGCTATCATGCAGGGAGTCTCTTCCGACACCAGACGCAGTATTAATTTCTTGGAGATTTTTTGTTGCAGAAGTGCGTACAATCGATTGGGCTCCTGATGGGAGCTGGATGGATTCAGTGCTTCGAGGAAAGGTTCGAACCACTCCGCATGGTGCTTACAACGGTCATCAGGGCTTTCATAGCGTAAACACTAAACAGCTTTCTTCTAAACGAAGGACTCACTAAACATAATTTCTTCGTGTATGCTGCGGCCCTCATCTTTTTTTTTTTTAATGGCTTTACATGGTTTTTGGTGGAGTTACTAAGGGACTAACAGAAACAAGTTTTGATTCACTCCGAGAACAATTTCATCCGAATCCATGAAAGAAGAGTCAAATGTTCTCAAGTTCTGGAGTGAAGCAATCTAATTTTGAATGCATCCGAAGCAATGCTTGCATAGAAGGTCAGATGTTTTTGCAGTTAGTGGAGCCACTAGTTTTTCTAACCCCAGTTTGTTGAGCTCCTCAACGGGCACAAGGTGCTTGCTGCCGTGCATTTTTTTCCTTGTGTCTTCGTAGATAGCCTACACAAGAAAATCGGACGGTGCTAAATCTGTTGGCCATGAGTAAATTTCCTGCTGGGTTCAAAAATAAACGATATTCTTTGATACACTTCATAAAATGACCGTCTTCGATGACATGTTCTCTCCAAATGCTCATGTAAGAGTTTCTGAATGCCTCTCTCCAGGCTCCAAAAGTTTGGTTAGCGAGGTGAAACCGAAACAGCATAAAAACGTGTTAGTGGTTCCCAACTTTTATCTGTATTCATTCTATGTCTGTACTTTAAAATGGTAAGCCATGTTTGTTTTCCATCTCACAATGTTGAACACTAAAATAGCAACCACCAGGATACTACTTCCCTAGCCTTGTTTTTAGGGTGACTGACTTTTCTTGCGTGCGCGCTTCAGTTTCAAGGCGATCTGCTATCCATACAATTCGCAACCGCAGGCAGCAGTGGCGTACGCTGACACTTCATAGAAGATCAGAAAAGGGGGCGGGAGGGGGAAGAGTCCTTAGGAGGCAATGAGAAAAGGAAAGATTAAACGAAGCTTGGGACAGTATTATGACATTCTGAGAAGCGTATGCCATCGCAAACGAGCTGGTCAGGAAGCGTCATAATCTAACACCTTGAGATTAGGAAGTTGGTCGGTTCTCGTATCTTTGCGGGTGCTTGGCGGAGGATACTTGTTTTTGAAAGCGTGTCTAGTGCTGTAGGGGTTTAGCCTGTCAAGCCACGTCTGGTCAAATCTCGAAAAATTTCATGTTCTCTTTCCTTGCACGTCTCGTGTTTTGGTGTGGCTAATAAACTTAGCTGTTCTTGAGATTTTGTATTGTGTTGTCGGTTCTTTTTTATTGCTCCTAGCACCAAGGTTTCCAGTAATTACGACTTCCTACGCTCTGCATTAGGGCAGCACTGTCGTACAGACCATGTCGGTTCTAGGGAATATCTCTTTGGAGACGACGTCGTGCGACAAAGCCCCTATAACGAAGACAAGTTAGCTTGATCAATTAGAGTGAAGGTTTGTTGTCGCTTTTCCAAATTGGAGATCATATGCTACTCAATATTTTGCCATCGCAAGTTAGTTCAAGATACTTCAAGGAGTTAAGGAAAATTTAAAAGAAACAAAAGATGAAGGTCTTTTTTAAACAACGACATGCACTTTTTTTGCTTTTAGATTACGTTTCTGCATTGATAACAAAACTACAATGACGGCTCAGCAAATCTGTATATATTCATAAGCTGCATTTGAAGACGCACATTTGGATATGATTTGCGGTGCTTTGCATACAGTATTTTTGTTGATAAACAAATTGTGAAGGTGTTACTAAAGCGGTTTTTTGTGTGTGTGTTTGGTCATTATCTTTACCATTTAAATATAATAGTAAAAATTTTAATATTCCGTGTGCATGTTTTAAACTGTGTATAAAATAAACGAAAAATAATTAACTACGTGTCTGCTTTTGTGTGACAATGGCGGCTGTGCAAATTACAATAGCGAAATCTCGACATCGCTTGCGCCTCGAGCTTCTTAATTTTATCTCTGGGAAAAATTTAGCTGCGGCATTCCCATATAGCTGAAGGTTCCTCCCAAGAACATGGCTTTTACATATATTTCTTACTGAATTATAAAAAAAATATGACCCGGGAAGTCATTGTACATTCTGACCTTTTAGTTCATTGACGCCTTAAGCAATTTAGGTTTATGATCATACACGAAGTCTAGAGATTACCTGCGGAAAAGGCTCCTGCATAAAAAAAATTAAATGTAATGATTTTTGGTCCTTAAAAAAAAACAAAAAAATCCTCCCCTAGAAAAAGATTGTTTTTATAGGACGTGAGTAGAACACGTGTTGTGAGCTTTCCCCGAAAAACATAACTTTTTTTGCCAAATATGTCCATCTCGACACAGACATGATTTTGAGTTAAGAGTACTTCTGGTATTTCGGCATGTCGACCCGAATAATCGCACGCGCATGTCACAAAACAACCACCCATAAATAGCGAGAAACAAAAAATTCGCGCAATATTTACGTTGCGAGACCTATTTTCGAGAAAGAAGCGATTTCAAAACGTGCCCCTGTTTCGGCCCGTCGTCCGGAATTTAAAGTACGAAACAGAAGCACGTCGTTATTCGCTCTTCCTCGCGTGAGTTGAAACATGGTGGCGCCAGTGTGCAGGGAGCCCTTGAACACTTCAGGTCCTGCACGAGACTTTGGGTTTTCCAGCATTTGCAGGATCAAATTTACAAGTTGTCTTCGTGGAAGCGTCGCTTATGGCGCTGTAAAACGTAATTCACTCTTATGAATATGATGAACGAATGAAGCGCAAAAAATTTAGTTAATATTCTCGGACCGGAAGTGCGCCAGGGTTACTCGAGAGATCGAGCCACTGAGTTTGTCGCCAAATAAAAAAGTGAAAGCAGTTTACAACTCCCTGTAACGCCGAATTAGAGCGCAGCTCTTGAGGAGGAGGAGGGAAGGGTACTGGGAGGGGTGAAGCGACCTGGGGGGTCACGTGACCTTGGGGGGTCGTGACCTTGAGGGGTCACGTGACGATGCCGATGATGTCATTAGTGACGTCACTGATGCCGTCATCAGTGACGATGATGATGCGGACTTCGATGACGTCATCAGCGATGATGACGATGCGGATGTCGGTGACGTCATCAGTGACGTCACTGATGACGTCATCCATGATGATGACAATGACGATGCGAATGCCGTTGACGTCATCCATGATGATGACAATGACGATGCGAATGCCGTTGACGTCATCAGTGACGTCACTGGTGACGTCATCAGTGATGATGACGATGGCGATGCGGATGCCGGTGAGGTCATCAGTGACGTCACTGATGACGTCATCAGTGATGATGACGACGATGCGGATGCCGGTAACATCATCTGGGAGGTCACGTGACCTCGGCGGGGGGTCACGTGACCCTGGGGGTGGTCACGTGACCTCGGGGGTGTCACGTGACCTCAGGGGGGTCACGTGACCTCTGGGGAGGGGTCACGTGACCTTGGGATGACCTTGGGGGTCATGTGACCTTGGGGTGACCTTGGTTACGCCGACGCCAACGGCGACGGCGACGCCGCTCAAGCCGGGAACGGGCCCCTAAGAGCTGCGCTCTAAAAAGGGGGGAGAATACTCAAAATGACTCTTGCGACCTAAATATAGCGCTAGAATGATTTTGCTTTCGGGGAAAGTTTGTTTTGTGGCGTAATTATTCAACCGTATGTACTCGAGTAACAGAGGCGCACTGCTTACGAACAAAGCCCGTGAGTCCGCTTTTCCGCAAAGCACTCGAGTAGCCAATCACCGCGACTGACAGACTAATGCCAGCGACTTACGGGTCAGAGATAACGTCCTCATGTGAAAATGCCCTCTGAGCAGATTGTTTTGTTCCGGAGTCTGGACCCCGTTATGCGGCTACATTGTTTCGCTATTTTTTTTTTTTACGCTGAACTGCGATGGTTGGTGGTATGCGTTTTTCTTATGAAAGTAGACGCGAGAACCTTGTTCATGAGGGGTGCTCTTCTTATCCGAGCGTCTGTTTGCGTTATATCTTTCTGCTCATATATGCAATCATTCTTGTATCTTTTGCATTTTGCATTATTAGTTATATACCTATCAATATTGGTGTTATCGGGAAGATGCCGATCACTACGTTCTTTTTGGAAGCTTTTTGTTTATTGCATTTTTTTTTGTTTATTTATGTACCTATGTGAACTGTAAGGAACGAGTGTCTCGTCAGGACTCTTAGCCTTTTACACTAGCCCCTCCTTCGTACCCTATCCGAAAAGCAAAACCAACTAAAAAATGAATAGTCATATAAATATAAAATACGGTATCTAGGCACTTTAAACACTATCTATGGGCACTTCAATGTCTCTTTAACATGTTTTCTACTTCACTTCTATAGTCGTTGGGCTTCAACCAGTAAAGGAAAAAAACTCTCAAAACGTTTCTTTTTTTAATTTCTTTTGTTTAAAGTTGGGGCAACTGGAACACGGCCGGGGAACTTACCGTCATCCATGGCCACGAACACGTTGGCAAGCGAAGTTACGCCGGCCTGGGGAATGTCGTACGTGAGCCTGTCTTGGAATCCCTCCCGGAGCTTGGCCATCGGGAAGACGTCCTTGATGTACGTCTTCAGGTTGCCCAGGTTCTTCTCCCAGGCGCCGTCTCGCCGCTGCATCTTAATGTCCAGCGTGTATCCGGCTCCGTACCTGTTCTTCAGGTGCTGGGTCGAGCCGAGGCACCTGCACGGGTTGCACACTGTTCGTGCTCTCGTGTCGTACTAGACGGCTCAACCTAGGTTCACAAACTTGCATTGCGTTGCCTCCTTCTAATTAAAACAGAAATCTAGCTGCACCTCCAGTTACTTAAATGCAATACAAATATTTTCAACGGATGCAATTAGAGCAAGTTGAGAAACAGGATATTGCTGAGTGACGCGCAGACAAAAACTGCAAGGCCGCGTCGGTGACTCTCAAGGCCCGTTCACACTCTTGCGACCGAGTACGACTGAGAGAGACGAGATCTCTTACAACTTCTTAAATGTTTCTAGAATGAGTCAGTCAGTCAGTAAAACGTTTATTATTTGGCCGAAAAAAAAGAAAGAGAAAGGAGAGAATGCAGCGGTGGCCGGACGCCTGGCTGCTAGGCCGTAAGGGAAGTCACATATGCGCTTGCAGTCCCGCCTCGAACACGAAGTCGAGGAGGGTCCGCAGCACACGCTTACGTGCACCCTCTGTTCCTGGAGGGTGCGTCCAGCTTTCGAGCTGGATGATTTCGAGTGGCCGGTGGCGGGATCGTATTGCTGCCAGGTCCGGGCAGGACCAGGCAATGGTGGGCGAAGGTAGCCCAGGCTCCGAGTTTGCAGCGCTGGCACAAGCGCCGAGGACTTGTTTTGGCTCCATGTTGCTATTCGTGCTGGATCGACCGTTGTGTCCGTTCTGATGCGCAGAAGGAGGACTCTTGCTCGACGACCCAACCCCGACGGAAGAGGGTCCGGGTCCTCGGGCAGAAGTTCCTCGAGCCGAATGCGACATTCGTTTCTGATGAGAGTGCGGTGCTCGTCCGGGTCCAGTTCCGCGTGATCGTTGAGGGCGGTGGACTGGCGGTTGTAGGTTCGGAGACAAGAAGCGCGATCACGCTGCGTCGCGTATCCGTGTTCTGATTGATGTGAGGGACTAGTATCCTCGCCCGAGAGGAAGAGTGCGGCACGGGCGATTCGATGAGCCTCTTCATTTCCAGGAATCCCGGCGTGGCCAGGTACCCATTCGATCTTGACGTGAACTCCCTGGCCACGAAGTTGCGAAGCGAGGTTTTTAATTTTTCGCACTAGCTTTGAAGGGCTGGCTCTAGGAGACACACTGACACTGTGGCGCCATCTATGCGGTGACCCTAGAACTGCATTTCACAAAAGCGAAGGTTTTGCGGGATTTCCGAGGTCAAATGTGCGTAATACCCATAGAAAGGCTCGTTTATAACATTGACAAAAGTTTTTCGAGCCAAAAAAAGAAAGGATATTGCGCGAGAAATAAAAAAAAAATATGCCGGACCGCCGAGTTTACACTGCTTCCCAATAGATGGCGCCAGTGTGTTTTCTGGTTTAAGAAGTTTTAAGGTGGTGGTGAATACGTTTATTTAAGGAAAAAAAATATATATATATATATATCTCTGGAGACTCGAAGTTTTCATGACGCGGTGGCCTCAAGGCTTGGCATCGTCTCCTCGGTTAAAGGTGTTAGATGGAGTTTCCCAGGTCTCCCTCAGAAATATACTCTAAGAGAGATCTGAGGATCGTGGTCTTGCGTGAGGTGTCGCCCACTGGGTGCGTCCAGTCCTGCAGTTTTGAAGGTCTTTCGTCATTCGCCATCTTACTGAAGATGAGTGTTCTGAGGGTGGAGAGGGCCACACATTCCCAGAGTATGTGTTTAAGTCTGGGAATGGATTCCTCGGCTTGACACCGCTGGCATCTGGGGTCGGGAGGGACAGCGTAGGGTTGTTGTTTCTTAAGTCTTGCCAGGTCCATTTGGTATCTGAACCTGAGTGTGACTGCTCCTCCTGTGCGTATGCGGCGGAGGATCACCGGTTCTTTTCTCTTGAATTCTTCCCTTGGGAGAGGATGTTGTTCTGGGGTCCATGATCTTGCCAGAAGATGTTTTCGTGTCTTCTGGGCTAACCTGAGTTCCTCCCTTGGATCGTATGGGGGAAGCTCAGAGTCTTGTTGCTGTGGTGTTGAGCCTGCCGTAGAGGACTGAGACAACAGGGACGGTTGTGTGAGATTCCTCATCGCCTGCTGTGCAGCCTCATGGGCTAGCTCGTTGCCCGAAATGCCTTCGTGCCCGGGAGTCCACTTGACATTAATTTGAATTTTCTTGGATCTGTATAGTGAGATCGCGAAGGCGAAGATAGCGTCAATGGTGGGGCTAGAAGAGGACCCGTATTTCTTGAGTTCTCTGATGGTGTCTTGCGAGTCGGTATAGACGATTAGCTGTTGTTCGTCTTGTAGATGGGGTACTGCCCCTCGGATGGCTTGCAACACCGCCTCCCGTTCGGCGAAGCCCGGCGTGTGGTGGCCTCGAGGGTTACCTTGAGTCTCTGTCCAGGTCGCATTCCCTTGGATGTATGTGGCTGCTGTTGCCCAAACCATAGAGGAGATGCTGGCGTCCACATAGGCGATCATGTTTTTTTCGTCCTCAACAAGCTTAGCCAGCTCCTTCTTGTGCATGCGAGCGTAGTGTTCTCGTCTTTTCTTGTGCCGCGCAGCGTCCATGTTTCTTGGGAGAGGTTTGCACCCGTGAGTTACGTCAATGAGTTCCCACGGCGCTTTGCTCAGCGATATGGGGGCCTCTTCTTGTATCTCGATTCCCATGTACTTAGCAATTTTTCTTTCCTCGGTTGTATGTTGTAGACGGGATAGTTGAGCCTCCTTCTGTTGGTTCATAAGGTCTGTGAGTTCTGGGAGGAAGATGCACTTGCTTACTTCCTCTGCCGAAGTGTGGCGTGGGAGCCCGAGGATGGCTTTTCTTGCTCCGTTGATCATGCTTTTAAATCTGGAAAGATGGGTTTTCGTGAGCCGGTAGAATCTCGCCGCATAGGCTATTTTGGATACTAGCACAGCAGTCACGAGTTTTTTGGCTGTTTTTTTCCCCAGCTCCTCCCATTTTCGTGGATATTCTTCGGACGAGATTGATACCTTGTTTCCATTTCTTGGAGATCTCGGCCAGCCAAGCTTTGCTTATTCTTGGCTTGTACCCAAAGTTAATTCCAAGGATTTTAACGGAGTCTGCTTTTTGGACTGGGTCTCCAGCAAAGGTAAGACCTAGGTTTTTGTTGTCTTGATTGCGGCCGTAGATGGTATATTTAGTTTTTTCTGGCGATGGGAACATTCCCACATCAGCAAGATATTCTTCAATGGTGTCGAGTCCCTTCTGCAAGGCGACAACTTGGGCTTCGGGAGGCCCTTGATGCGTCCAGATCGTGATATCATCTGCGTAAATCGTCGCACTGAGGTTGGGTATTTTATAAAGTTTCCAGAGGAGTGGTGCCATAACGATGTTGAAAAGTGTAGGTGACAACACTGCGCCCTGAGGAACTCCAATGTTATTTTCTTGAAGGGTTCCTTCTCCACACTCTTTGTCATATCCAGCTCGGATTTTGTAGACCCGTCCCGAGAGAAATGATTTCACAAAGTCTAGTTGTTTACCCGTGAGGTCTTGCTGCTCCATCTTGCCAATGACTGATTGATGGGGGACAGAATCGAAAGCCTTCTTTATATCGATAGATACAATCGCTCGCAGTTGTTTTTTTCCTGGGTGCATGTCCACGACGTCTGTGTATATCATCTGCAGACTGTCCTGTATGCACAAGTTCGGTCTAAATCCGGTTTGCGTTGGATGAAAGATGCCGAGGGTTTCAGCGTTGTGCTGAATCCGTGCGAGTACCATTCTTTCCATAAGTTTTCCCATGATTGAGGTCAAGAAAATAGGTCGGACGTTTTTGGGGTCAGTTGCTGGCTTCCCTGGTTTAGGTATTGGTGTGACCAGGGACACCTTCCATTCTTCGGGAAGTTGCCCGCTTTCCCAGATTTCGTTAAACCATTTGAGGATAACAAGACGGGTGGCCAGGGGTGCGTTTCTGAGCATGGGCGCTGTAATTCCGTCTTCTCCAGGTGCACTCTTGCTTCTGCACTGTTGTATCGCCGCTCCGAGTTCCCACTCTGTGAACGGGAAGTCTTCCGGCTTGTCTGCAGGTCCCGAATGGGTTGAGTGGTAAATGATTTCCTCCGGTTTCGTTGGGGGTTGTGGAAAGAAGATGTCTCCCAATTTGTTGAGAATTTCTTCAGTTTTTTCATTGGAGAGAAGTGCGATGACGGGGACAGGGCTGACTCCTTTCTTTTTTCCTGACATGGAGTTGAATGTCTTCCACACGTCTCTAAGGTTGGTTTTCTCGTCGAAGGACTCGCAATACCCTAGCCATCTGTCGATGGATAATTTGTTTGCGTATTTGCTTGCTTCTTCCGTTAAACGGTTGACCTTGTCTAGGTGTTTTTTCTCTTTCCCTTGTCGGTACTTTTCTAAGGCTCTGGTCCTTTTGTCCCATAATGCGAGGAGATGGTAGTCTGGTTCTGGCGTGTCTTCATAGACTTGCCTTACTTCTGTGGCAATCTTTGTAGCTGTTGCGAGTAGTGCGGTGATTTGACATGGTTCCAAGACATCTCCTTGTTCTTTGAGGTTCTGCCTATATTTGTCCCAGATTATTGTTCTCGTTGGCCTTTTTTGCTTAAGATTATAGCCTCCAATGGCGACGTCCATAATGATGGGGAAGTGGTCGCTGCCCCAAGCGTCCTGCGTCATATCCCAGCTTATCTTGCGAGCTGTTGTCGGTGTGGCCAGGGTGACGTCGATTATGGTGTCTAACTGACAGCTAGTTAGAGAGTGTCTCGTTGGTCTAGTAACATCGTTGATGAGTTCGAGACCTCCGGCTTCTATTGCTTCCATAAGTTCTTTGGTCCTGCGGTTTTGCTGTAGATTAGCCCAGTCCTCGATTCTGGCATTGAGATCCCCTCCCATGATGAGGTAATCGTCTGGATATTGATCCTTGAGATAATTAAGCCATGAGTGATCATATGGTTTCGAGGGACAGGCGTATGCAGATGCAATCGTTAGTCTTCTTTGAGTGGTCTGGAGTGCGACTCGTACTGCTACCACCTCTTGGTAGTCAGTGCACCAGTTCTCTGTATTTATGACAATGAAGGCTAACTTTTGACTGATAAACACATTAACCTGAGCCTTCACCTCCTTTTCCCCATCACTGTTACGTCGCCCCGTAGGAACGGCGCGTTTTATTGCTGGGTTTGCTATCTTGTGGTAGCCAGAGAGTTCAATTTCATCAGTGCGTGTTTCTTGCAAGAGTAATATGTCGAACTTGTAGTCCTCAATTCTCTTAAGTAGTTCGGCTTTCCTTCTTGAGAGGCTGCGACAGTTCCATTGTAGAACTCTCAGAGGTGCTTCTTTTGTTCTTTTAGTGGGCATGTTGGGGTAGTGTCGTATTCATCCCTAGCTTCTGCATTACGAATTGTTGAAACTGCTGTGTTTCTCGCATCTGCTGTTGCATCAGGTGTATCTGTCGGAGGACGGTTTCCCAATCGCTTGGGCTTGCGTTCTGTGTAGGGATAAGTTGAGGTTGGGGTTCCTCTTCTGTTGTTGGTACGCTGCAGACAATCTCCTGCCTGGAGGTGTCGCGTTCTTGTTCTTTCTTTTCGCGGGCTGCCTTGCGCGCTTCCATAGTTTCCTGAATGCGTTTTGTTATGACTGCCTTTCTCGCTTCCCTGTTTTTATTGTCTTCTTCTTCTTTCCTTTTGTACTTGGCAAGTTCCGCTTCAAGTTGAAGAATCATGGACTTGCCTGATTTGGCCTCTGCTTCAATGGCTCGGATTTCCTCTTGCCATGATTTTAGTTTGTCGTTTTCATCTCTGTGGTATCCCTTCTTGTTTCGGTGGTGTAGGGCATGTGCGTAGTCGCCAGGCCTCCTGCTGCTGCTACGGCGGTGCTCTGAAGTCGACCGATTGTGAGACACCTTCTTTGGTTTGTGCGAGAGGCTTCTTGATGTTTCTCGAGCCGACGGCTGCTGTGATGCGCGGCTCGCGCTCCTGCTTCTTCCTCTGCCTGGAGTAGAATTTGGGAGTTCAGGGTATTCTGTTATTGTGACTTCCGGGGGTCGACTCTCAGCTGTGGCTCCGCCTTTTCCTCCTGTCCCCTGGCTGCCATTGCTTTTCATTCCTATGGCTTTAGCTTGAAGTAGCTTGTTGGCTTTCAGGCGTGCTGGGCAGTTGGGATCTGTTGCTATGTGGGCGGACGAGCGGCAGTTGGCACAGTACTTGCGTTCGCATACGTGTCTTTCAAGGGTAATGCACCCGCAGTCTTGACACCTTGCTTTTCGTGTGCATACATTTTCTTTGTGTCCCTGGCCTTGGCATCTTCGGCACACCATGGTCATCGGTATGTAAAGAGTTACTCTTTTAACCATCCCATGATAGAGAACTTGCCGTGGTGGCCTTGTTCCAGAGAAGGTGACGAGCGCTAAACCTCGACTTCCAAAAGGTCTTGCGTGCAAAACTTCGTGTGTTCTGCAGACGATTGTTTCAAAAAGTTCTTGCGGTGATTCCGTCGGGTCGGTCTCGTGGACCACACCTCGGCAAGTATTTTCGAGCATCGTTTCGTGTGCCACCTACTCCACGGTCTTGTCGGGGGCTCTGATGGACGTTATTGCCAGTAGCGGTGCCACAAGTTTTCTGTCGTATACTTTGACGGATATTGTATTCGCCGCCTTATTGGAGCGAATCGATGGTCTTTGTAGTGGCGTGCATGTTTTGGGATTTAAGCTTAGCTTCGGGTAGAAATTTCTTTCTACCACAGCTGTCGGTATTCCCGCTAGATCGTAAGGTTCCTTCGAGCGATATACAACGTTGAAAGAATCTTTTTTTTTTGCTTCAGTTGAGGGTTAGCTGCCGCGGCTTCTAGAAAACTTGAGAGATTTCTACTCGCCTCTTGTTTCTTGCGCCTACCATAGACCACTGTCTGCCAGTTTATGGGATGCTCGGCGTCGTTGGTTTCTTCTTCGGCTCTTGAATTGCTGGTGTCCATGATGTTGTCGGTCCTTAGTTCCGAACATGCAGACTGATTCGTGCAAATGCTGCTCGTGCTGGGTCGTCTCGATCTCTTCGAGGCGGTGTCTTCTCGGTCGTCAGCTGCCGGTGTGGTGTCCGCTGCACGTCGGCGGTTCTGCTTAACCGTCGGCTCACTCTGCAATGCCGGTTTCATGTACCGGTGTTCGGCAAAAATCACCTATGCTTCTTCGTTAGCGTCAGGAATGTTGTGTACGATTCCTTGGTCAGAGTAGGCTTCGGGAAGTTGAACGAGTACAGTTTGGGTCGGCGCCGAGGCCGCATGGCTCGGTGAGGCCATGTCGCCAATGCCGCGCCAAGCCCGTCCCTAGACTTAGCTTTCAGCTCGCTTGCCGTTCTCAAAAGGGGGTCGAAGACACGAAGAAAATCCGTCCTCTCTGTGAGAGTACTCACTTGGCTTGTTCCTTGGGTGGTTAGGAACATCAAGAAATCATTCCCGTGTCAAAATGATCCGTTGGCAGGTAAAAAGATGAGCGTGCGTTCGTCGTGTGCGCGCGGAGCGCAGCCTAACAACAAGCCGCCATTTGAAGTTTTCAGAAGTTTTAAGGAACCCAGGTTTAAGAGGTCGCAAGCAGTCGCAAGAGTGTGAACGGGCCTTAAGGCAAAGCGCCGGCCTGCGGATCCCCAGGTGACGGGTTCGAATCCCGGCAGAGGTGCCCGCAATTCGCCGGAGGCTTATTGCAAAGAAGGAGCCGTGTAACCTAGCTTTCAGTTACATGTCAAACTACCTCCGGTGCTCTAAATTAACCCTCAGTCCCCTGCTGGAACGTTCCAGATACCCGTCATTAGATCGACCCGTACAACGCCAGTAATTAATAAAAACTGAAAAAAAAAGCAGACCGCGCATTTGTTTCTTTACTACGTGAAGAAAGCGGACCTGACGTAACACATCTACGTAATTTCACCCCATTAAACCTCCCATCACCGTCAGGTAAAATGATGCTACACGAGCTAGGTTAATTTGTATCATTCTACTACTACTACCAAAATACTGGATACACGCGTATCTTAAACAGCAGTTAAGTGTAGCCGAGGTCAGACTTAACTGTCGTTCAGGATGCCCGTGGAGCTAGAGTTTAAGACGTTAAATACACCAGTCGGAGACGCGATCCAGCTGCAGCGCCTGGACAATCTCCACCTACCGTAGCCAACCTACGCATACACCTACCTCAGTGCACCTCGGACCATGATGCCCACTTTGGTGCAGAGGGCGTCCGCTTCCTCCATGGAGTGCGTGGTGAGCAGCGCCCCCCGGTCGCCCCCCTGGGGGAACGTCGAGCATATGGTATCCCAGAGGAAGCGTTTGGACTGGGGGTCCATGCCTGTCGACGGCTCGTCCAGCAGCACGACGCGTGGCTTGCACAACATGCTGATGGCGTAGCTCAGCTGCGATTAGGCAAACCTCTCTCATCAAAGGCAACGAGTGGTGCACCATTGTGTGTCTCGTGAAAAACTGGTCTTTGCGATGCGCATTCTTCGTATGAAGCACTCGCGACAACTTCGTGCGTGTGTGGAGTGAGCGTCTGCAGCGCTCTTCCGCTGGAACGGGTGCAAACGCAGCAGAAAAACACAACAAAAAAGTGGCAGCAGGAAAAAAAAACTTCTTTGAAAACGAAGATTAGATCAAGGCACAATATTTTGCTTCACAAACAGCCAACCCGCTGAATGCCCGCTGAGAAGCAGGTGAACGCATTTTACAGCGAAGCTGTACATCACTCGTTGGTCGGGTTTCTTCGTGTCCGTTGACAGAACTGTAGTCGACTATTAAAATAGTCGACAGAAACGAATCGCTTGCGTGTTATCACAGTTCTTATGCGAATTATATCTTATCATGTTGTTTTGACACTTGGGGATAAGCGCGTAGCGTTCCCCGCCTGCGTTTTGCGGTAAAGATTGCTTTTGCGTAAGTTGCCGCGGCAAGGGCGGAGTATGAAGTAAGGAGTGATGTCACTAGTCCCGCTAACAACGCGAAGCGCGTAGCGCTCCCCGCATGCGTTTCGCGGTAAAGATTTAGGTTTCATAACCTGCTGCGGCAGCGTACAAAGTCTTTCATATATAAAAGAAAAAAGTTTTGATACAGTGCGTTTACTTTTCTTTCGTCAATCATTTGGTACAGATCCTTTTGGTGTTTACAAATATGAACTGCCGCTTGCGTCTTAAGCGACTTCCGGTCACGCCGTTTGTGCAAGCCTGTTGAGCTTGCTATTCTACCAGTCCATAAATGATACACGTACATAAATGACCGCGTAGCATCAATGCTTCACGGACAACAAAGTTTGAGATTTGACGAGGGCCTTCGTCTCTACAATATTACATCCTGGAGGAGCCAAGTTGGTTTACAAGAATACTCGAAACATTTTAACAGATCTCGCACTCCTTCGTTCTTTTGGCGTTCACCTGGAGAATTGGTGGTTAAACGTGTCATCTACTTTTCAAGCAGCGGTGATAAGGGGGCCTTCGTTCATTCTATTTAAAAAACGGAAGTTCTCTGGGACGTCAAAGACTGGAGCAACACCTGGTGAAGTTTACTATAGAAAACGTGACTACAGTGCAGTGGGCAATCGTTGCCGGAGATACTCCAGCTTTGCTGTCCAACCATCTTCACAGCGTAGATTTTTAATATCAGTTTTAGAGTGGATCGCGTCTTTTCATTTCTGTAATATTTTGGCAGAGCTCGTATCTTGTCTCCCAAAATCGATATCAGTCATTTACTTTGGTTTGAATTTTGACCTAAGTTTTCCTTTAAAGGTGGACACTATATTTTGTTTTATATTATGTGTAATTTAAAACCGAAGCTACAAGCACGAGCGTGTAACCATTTGATGTTACCCTGAACGACGCTAGCACTGCAGAAGCGCGCGTGCTTGGCAGGGACGCTAAAAGCAGACTTGTACGTAATCCGTTGCAAATAACGAAATTACTTGTAATCCCTTACATTTATCAGTAATTTAGCAACGGAATAATTACATATTTTCTAGAGTAATTTTGAAGTAATTCCCTTACATTTTTGACGTAACGAATTCCTTGTAATCCGTTATATTTTTTTTTGTCAGCTCCAGCCCCCCCCCCCTTCCCATTCTAAATAAAGATTTTTTTTTTCATTTTTGTAAAGTCGAGTGCAGTGACACTGTCACGCGAATCGACCAGCGCAAAGATAGGCTTGGCACTCCTTCGTTCCGCAAAGCCTTTTTTTGCAACACCAAGCCCCGGAATCTATCTTTCTTTTAGACCCTAACATCAATGTCAAAAAATCCAAATAAACAATTCTTCAAAAAAAAAAAAGAAAAAAAAAGGGGGGAAGGTTAAGCTATTTCCGCTTTTTTTTTTTTTAGTCCTTTTGTTTTTTCTTTGCGATCGAAGACGGGGAGAGGAGGACACCAAGTGATTGTGCGCCTCTTCGAGAAGCTCGAGGGGGTAAGTGCACTAAAAAGAATTAACAATGTCCTTCTCGGTTATAGTGACTACGACCATGTACATAATGTCACAACACGAGGCAACGCTCCGTGTACCCAGAGCTGGCCAAATTACTCATATTTTGTAATTAAATTACATTACTAATTACTTTGCTGAAAATTGCTGAAATGTAATTAAATTACATTACAAATTACCACAGCCAGAAAGTAATTACCATTACAAATTACTTTTAAAAGTAATGACATTACTTTCGCATTACTTTTGTATACTTTTAAATATAGAGGAGCTATTGATAATTTCCTTTTACAGATAACTTTATTTACATTATTTACACAGTTCATGGCACACAGCTAGAACTCTCTGTTGCATGTTTACCGATGGACAGAGGAATGCACGCCACTGATCCGTTTCCCACCCCAACCCGGACAACTATTTTTGGAGATGACTGAGGGCCCTACGCGGATTATCTCTGGGAGGGGGAGAACAATTGTCATTGTTTGCAAAATCGCGTCGAGGGCCGTTCCACCAGGGGCCTTAGTTCGACCCTCTTCCACTCCTTCGTTTCCCGAGAATGTCGAGCAGAAAAGCTCGAATGGAAGGCACTTACCAGCCCTATTTCTCACAGTGGAAGATAACACAGAGAGGGTACGCAGTATGCATCAGACAAAGTAAGCGGAAACTTTCAAGAGGGGCCAGAAAACGTCGAATGAAAAACCGCAAAACAGGTAGAGAATCGCGCTGAGCGGGTTTTCACAGTTCAAGAGAGTCGCAGAAAATGTCTAGCTGATAGCGGGCGCGAGAGTCGCACCAGCCGCATTAGCATCAGCAACATAGCGGCGGCCAAAGAGCGTTTTTTGGAAAGGTGTAGAGGAAAAAGAAAAAGTAAAATAAAAAAGCGCTCTTGTGTATTGTGGACACAAAAAATATGCTTGGTGCGAAAAAGTAATTAGGTAATTTAATTACAATTACCGTCGCTGGAGTAATTCACTACATTACTAAATTACCTGCTACAAAAAGTAATGAATTACATTACTAATTACTGGAACAAGTAATTAAATTACTGCAATTTCATTACAGTAATTGCATTACTGCCAGCTCTGCGTGTACCCTACCCTTTTTGTGAGTCAGCTTTTTGCGAGCACTTAGAAAATGGCAATAGTCTTCCTTTCTTTTTCTTCCTGTTTTGCCCCAGCAGGACGCATCTTATCTCAAGCAGATATTTTTACAAATAAAACATAATGGTGGCTGACCTAGACTTGATATTCTTAGGGTGCCTTCATCCCTAGATATTCTGGGCTTGAGGATAGAGTGAAATTCGCGAGTGGGGCCATAGCGCGGTTTACTTAGTACTCTACCCTTTGCTGCCCGTGGCATCAGTGGACGTCTATCTGGAGAACACCGGAGTAAACTGCAGTCGGTTCGTGCTCCATGCGTTTTTGAACGGCACCAAGGTGCACACGGCAAACATGCGTTTACATTTCCTTGTTTTAACCGACGTTCTAATTAATTGTTGTTATGAGTGTCCTTCTTTTTCTTTTATTACTTATATTTATATACTGGAAACTTTTTTTTATTCACCAACGTCTCAAGTGAGGCTCAAACTGTTCAGAACCAAAGGAAGAAGAATATCGAGACAAACCTTATTTATTATGTAATTATCACCTTACTGTTACAACTATGTTTTGCTATTGATGACTTCCACAGCTTCGCGATTTAGACAATAAAGAATTTTAGTAGATTGGTCCGATAACAATATCCGATACTTCGCCGCCGTCTTTGCGTATGCATCATATCGTTATCGGGTACCGTTATCGCGGGTAATGGAGGTATCGGAAGGATCTACTAAATCTCTCGAATAGCAGGCAACGGCTGCAACGACGAAGCTTTGCTCTACATCCGAGGTAGATAGTACTTCCCTTGCTTCGCTAAAAAAGCTCAATGCAGAGCATGAACCATTCGTGAGGAACAATAAGGCACTCCCATCCAGTGCCTCAGCTCAAATGGTGTTCAGCGTAGCAGTCGACATATTGAGTAAGAAATAACGCGAAATGTCTGACGAGACTTTCGAGAGCCAGCTGTTGCACAAAATACTCAACGTCATTAAATGGAACAGGTGGCAACAATAAGAACTTTAATAGCCCTCTTCCCTTTGTTCCTTACTTGTGGGCAATAACGTTAAAAGTAACGCCACGAAAGTAACGGATTACTTTTTGGGGTAACGGTCAGTTACTTTCATGGGAGGGTAATTGTAATTGTAATAAATTACAATTTAGCCTTGAGTAATTGTAAATGTAATTCCTTACTATTTTTCAGTAACGTGTACAAGTCTGGCTAAAAGTATGCAGCTTACTGTTGTAAATTCTGTTGTGCTCGCAGTGGAGGTCAAACGAAGCATAGGATCGGTGGATATGCGTTGCACTTATTGAAATATAATTCAAGTTGATTTCCTCGTACTGGTTCGGTATGAAGACGAAGACGTAAACCAAGATGCAGATGCCCTTTGTTGTGTACGCTTAATCTTTCTGCTGGCGGGGTGCAGAGGTAGGAACTAGTGCACACCGTATCACAATGGTAAGCAAGGGGAGACAATTCCTATACCCCTTGCGCAATTAAGTTTGGTTCGACAGGTGGCGCCATCTTATGCGGGATTTTTGCAACTCGGAGACGGCCCGCGGCCGCAATCATTGGAGCCGATCTCGAGCTCGAACGTCCGAATGCCTTGCCGAACTCTGACGCAGACCTCGTGTCCAATCGATCGGTGCTTAGGCTTTCCCAAAGTTACCCATTTTGGCCACCAGACACGCTGACTAGCAGCTGACCAAAGCGCATCCTGTTCACTGCCATAAGTTTTTTGCTCAGGGAGTAAGCACCACGTAAAAATGTCATCTTCAGTTAACTCTAGGGCAAAAAAGCGGGGCCCAAGCATATAGCAATGACATCCATGATTCTCAACCGTAGAGTCGGAGACGAACGGACGATACGGGGACAAACGCATACGTCTCCGGTTTAAATCATGTGTAACATTAACCAGCTCGCCTGCTTAAAACTTGTGTCTTCAATGCAGCGATGACATGGCAAAGAAACATTCGTTTCGATTATGACTTTTCGTTCTAGAAAAGCGGGACATACCATACATACGAATTAGTGTCACTATTTAAGTGTTCCTGAAGTCAGATAGGTATTCATTTTACGGCTTTGTCTTAATGAAGCCAAAACCTTGCATAGTGCACCTGTTTGTAATCCGCCGCAAGAGCGATGTGCCCTACATAGTTGTAGTGCGTCGGAACTTAAGGCATAAAGATATTAATGTCCATAACAAGTACAGGCGGTGAGGTTTGGTAGAAACACAAGTTTCTTCCTGGCATTATGTCTCCTTAAAAATTCGCAGCTCGATCATAGTTGAACACCAACCTTCCGCTTCGTTCCGCCGGAGAGTTGTTTCGCTCGCTTTGCAGCGTGCTCTTGAATGTTCAGCTTCTCCATTAACCTGAAACAAGCAAGGGAACACAGCTTAATTAGTGTTTACTTTTAAACCAAACGTTCAATTCACTTTCGTATGTTTATGCCTTAGTATATGAAGTTGTCATACCGAAATCAAAAGCAGGATAGGGTCACATCTGGATAGCAACAACTTGTTGTTCTCTAATCAGCAGGGTTGTTGTAAGAATCTTTCGTGTATTACCCAACTGTTTGAACTTAATGCTGATATGCATACTAATCTGCATTCTTTCAAACAAACAAGCACAGTCTTCAAAGACTTTTAAGAATCCATTGGCCGGGTCCCCCCCCCCTCCCCCCGCCCCAATAACAGATTAATATACAAACTCACATATCGAAACGTCAACAGTAACATTGTCTCCTGGACTCAAGCATACCTGTCACATCGTGCTCAATATCTGATCGTCGATAATGCACCACCCTTCCTCAGTATTTCGCCTTTGGCGTCCCTCATGGTCATGTTCTAGGGCCGCTACACTTAAAAAAAAAAAAGTCAGTGCTTCTACTTTCCCGCGCAACACTCGGAGAGCCAATCACCTCAACATATGGAGGCAGCTCAGCGATTGACGATGCCGAAACTATGTTTGGACCACGGATGGGCAAAATACATGTAAATATGTATCAAAGTACAGATACAAAATACTTTGTCAAAACGTATTTAGTTACAAATCTAATTACATTTCCAAAAAAGCATTTAAATACAAGATACAAATACAACCAAATGTATTTGGTCTCCTCCAAATACTTTTCCAAATACATTCCTCAAAATTTGCGTCAGCGACTGCAGGGCACCTGCAACGGGTTTCTGGGTATCTCATTTTAATTTTGCATCGCACACTCGGGAGTTAGTGTGCGAGGCTCTAGTAACGTAATAGAAATATAATTTAAAAAAATGTAATCAGCTTGGACGTAATAGGTGAAAAAAGTACAGAGCTTCAAGCAGCTTTTTTTGTCGATTACATTTCGGTATAGAACAACGAAGAACCGAGACGACCAAGACGCGCAGCACTAGCTAGAGAATTTTTTATTGTTACAACTCGCACCAGTTATGAAAATCTGGACGACCCGCGCATTTAGAATGTTCCAGGCAAAAGTATGGATGAAAATCAGGCTGGAAAGCATCACAAGTTGCCACAGGCACTCATTTAGCCAGTCTGCCTGTGAACGTCGATTTTGTCACTATTCTTGCCCTGGACTAGCACCGTAATCACAAAGTCACTAAACGCTTGTGCTCGATTGAGACACTACATTCGGTGCAGAACGTAGTTTTCTTCCTCCTCTGGACAGTGACAATAAATTTGAGGGATGTATTTTCGTCCACAAAATTGTATTGAATTACAAGTGTATTTGAAATACCCACGTTTTAGTATACAAATACACACGTCAAATACATTATCAAATTTGTAATTAAATACAAATGCAAAATACACAAAGTATTTGAGATACATATTTCAAATACTTGTATTTGAAATACTGCCCATCCCTGGTTTGGACCCAAAAAAGTTAAAGCCGTTTACAACTCCCTGTAACACCAAATTAGAGCGCAGCTCGAGGAGGAGGGAAGGATATTCAGGGCCACGTGACCTCGGGGGGGGGGGGGGGGTCACGTAAACTGGGGTGTGGTCACATGACATTGGGGGTCACGCGACCCCCCCCCTGAGGTCACATGACCCCCCGGAGGTCACTTCACTCCCAAGGTCACGTGGGGGTCACGTGACCTCGGGGGGGGGGTCACGCGACCCCTCCCCCGAGGCCACTTGACCCCCAAGGTCACGTGACCCTTTCCCCAAGGTCATGTGGGGGGTCACGTGACCTCGGGGGGGTCACGTGAGACATCGGGGGGTCACATGACCTCGGCGGGGGGTCACGTGACCCCCCAGAGAAATTTTTCCGCTAGATTTAATGGGGAAATTTTTCGGTTAAATTTAGCGGGGAAATTTTTCTGCTGATTTAGCGGGGAAATTTTACAGCGCAGCTCTTAGGCGCCCGTTTCCGGCTTGAGCGGTGTCGCCGTCGCCGTCGGCGTGACTAAGGTCACCCTAAGGTCACGTGACCCACAAGGTCACCCCAAGGTCACGTGACCCCCCAGGTCACGTGACCCCTCCCAAGGTCACGTGACCGTCCCAAAGTCACGTGACCCCCCGAGGTCACGTGGCCCCTTTCAAGGTCACCTCAAGGTCACGTGACCCCCGAGGTGACCCCCAGGTCACGCGACCCCTTGAGGTCACGTGGCCCCCCTCCCCAAAGTCAAGTGGCCCCCCCCCCCCCACCCGAGGTCAGGTTACCCCCCGGAGCACATTAAAGAATAAGGGGAGGAGAAGAAGGAGGAGGAGGGGTCTACCCTCCCCTCAGTACCCTTCCCTCCTCCTCCTCAAGAGCTCCGCTCCAATTCGGCGTTACACGGAGTTGTAAACGGCTTTCTCTTACAACAATCTAACAAAACATTCGGATATTTAAGAAGGCATATTTTTCCTGTGAATTCCTTTGTTAAATATTTTAGCTCATATTACTCTAGTCAGAACTAAGCTGGAGTATACAGAACCCATTATTTTAAAACCAACACATTTCAATGCTCACTCCTCCATTATGCATATTAGATGGTAATAGCCTGCCCTCAAGCTTGGTAACTGGCAGTATTTACAAATGTTTTTCGCGCAATATTTCTAAAATGTTTGAATAATGTTTACATAATGTTTCTTGACATTTTTTTTCGTTTTTGCAGTGTTTTTTTTATTATGGGTATTGTAGAATATCGAATTTCACGCCCTCTATTGAAATGCCTTTCTCAAAAAAAAAAAAAGATTAAGGCGAAAAAATTCAATGAAATGAAACACAATAAATTTGGGTACGTTACTGCTAACAACTTTCACGACACTTTTGCAACATGCACTTCAGGCCAACAAGATTTCTGCTCTTGGCATAAGTAGATGCTCGCCTTGAATATAAAAAAGGTAACAACGGAGTCATTCCTGGTAGCCATTATGATTGACCTCAAGGCATCTTAAGCAACTGGCAACAAAGAACATGTCGGTGAGCAGGTGAAATTTTTGAAAATTTCTCGGCTGCCAGGGAGTGACGGACCGGCTCCAAGTACACACCTTTTTTGGTGGACCATTGCGACAATTTTTTTGCCGCACTCTATCACTTTGAGCAGTTCGGTTCAATCAGGTGACCTTTGTTAAAACTTTCTAGTTTCCAGCATGAGACATAAATTTCCCCTGAATCTTGGACACGAAAAAACGTTTGGGAACAAGCCGGTGCGGCCGAAAAACCTCGTAAGGCCCTCAAAAAACTTCTTTACGCGAAGCAGATCAGCCATGCTGGTTGCAGTAGACAGATCATACTTGTGGCGTCTGCGGCCATAGCTCCGTGCTTACCACGCAGTGGCGGGGCCGATCTCTTGGGACTTGATTCCCCTGAGAGCACCGAAGAGATGCAGGTGCTCCTGAAGGGTGAGGTTGTTCCAGAGGGCGTCGTGTTGGGGACAATAGCCCAGCATCTTGAACGCCTGGCACATGTTGGACGTGATCTCGAAACCGCCCACGGCCACCTGGGATACAAAGGGGAGCAAGAAAATGGAAGTAATTTGCCAGAATAACGTGAGAATTCTAGGAATAAATGTAACCCCTGGAGCATTATTTGGTCATCAGCCATTATAATGTGCCATACTGCTCATTGTAAAGACCTCCACACACACTAAAACGCCTGATGCTCAGCTACCTCACCACAGAGCGTATGAAGGGTCAATCTATCTTATAATAATTATGCTATTCGTATGTATAGACAGCCGGAAGTTAGTCAGCCTCAGGGGGCGTCTGGTGTCACAGCTGCAGATGAGAGATGAAGCCAGCGTGGTACGACCGCGTCTGGTGTCTTTAACGTGCACGACGCAGTAGTGATACACGACCGCACGCCGGTACGATGCTCATCCAGATTGAAACGGGCGGGGGTGGGGAGTCGCAGCGGCAGCTCCGACACGTCACGGCGAAGTTGCTGGGCATTGGTGTCGCGTTCGCGCACCGTGGGGTCTTGACGACGAAGCCTCTCGGCTTCGTTTTAACGGGCATACACCTCACTGTTCTCCCTGCGGCGAACGGCGAGACGCGTGAGTGAGTCTTTCAGCGTCTCACAACAAGCACGATGATAGCACACGGCGACGCCAACACACACGCGTCTGCCGCTTGGCGCCGTGTACTCCCGCCAAGGTTCAGCGCGTTCGCCGCTTGGGGCGGCTCAAGGACCCACTGACGACGCCGTAATGCGCAAGTCTTGTCTTCTACGTGGTATCGGAAGGGTGGATATGGCTGAACACTAGTCAATGGGTGGCGGCTTGCGCCACCAAGACGAGGCTTTTAAACTCAACAATTAACTCCGATTAAATCCGGAATAAATTAGGAAAGGTAAAGAAATTTTCTGACGTCACACTAACTGTGGCCAACTAGCGGGTGCTACTCGAGATCTACACGCAAATGGCCCTTAAAGGGACCATTAAACGATTCTCAAATCGAATTTCATCCACCGCACGTCGTAAAAGGTGTAAAAAGAAACTCAAAAACACAAAAATAGAGAGCCAAAAAAAAACTTTTTGCTATAGAGCTTTCAAAACAAAACCGGACTCTTCTGCGCCCCCTTTCCTTTGAAAGGTCTCTGCCTTTTTACTGCGATGTGTCCGCGGAACCGCAGCACGTCAGCCGAATCCACGTCGCCTATTGGGTAAGACCCTACCTCACCAGCACCGCGATCATAAACAATAAAGAGCCGGCGGATGTTTCCTAAAAGTTTCGTTAAATATTATTCAGATCCACATTTTGTAACAAAATTAGAGATGTGATGAAAATTGACGAATTTGATAATCTATCGCGTGGTAAACGAGGCAAGAAAAAGACCCTACTGTGCCTGCGCAGGCAACCGACGAGCGTCGTCCGCTAAACGGGTTTGCTCCAGGCCGCGCTTTCTTCGCAAGGAAGACTTTTGTTTTCTGGCTGTTCAAGTAGTGTTTACATTGTTTGTGATCGAACGCTCGTTGGCTAGCCGAAAGGCTGCAGTGTACCGAAGTGCTCGAATTACAGTTTCTGCAGTCCGGTGGTTAAAAAGAAACAGTTGCAGTTTCACCGCTTGCCACTCGATGAACCACGTCGAAGCACTTGGTGCAGGCTCATCGGTTTGAGGGACCCCGGGTCTACGGCCATTCGTGTGTGCTCGGAAAAGTTTAACGCCGAGCGTGATTACAGCCACATTCGCATGTTCTCCGCGAATGCGGGCAGGTTCCAAAAGGCCTCCGCCTGGAACCCGATACGATTCCGACGCTTCGGCATCTCCCCCGAGCAGGAAAGAGTCGCCAAGCGTCAAAGGACCACGGTGACTCACACCGCGAGCATCAAACAAATTTCACCATGTGGAGAATAACAAGTGCTTTAAGTGTAGACAACTCCATTGACAGTACAATATGCATTCGCTAAATTACTGTCGAGCCATTGCGGACCCGCAACCCCGGATCAGGCATACCGGCGTATGGGACTAGTCCCATGCTGTCGCTGTAGCGCAACATATCTAATTGAATTTTGCTCAGCTGCGATGTGTCCATAGCTATCACGGCGATGAGAGGCGCCAATTCCGAAAATACGTCGGTGACATCAGCGCCATCAGCGTAGTAAAAGCTACCGGCGCACCCCCAACTCGCCGCCGCTAACGCTCCCATTTTCCTACTGCCGAAACAACTTCCGGTTCCTGTGCCAGAGTACCGTCACAACCGTCAAAATTACGCCGCAGCTTGTTTTGCGGTCAGTTGGAGAGAAAGAAAAAGCCGATATTTCATTAAGTCTTTTGCGTAGAAGTTAATGAACCGAGACGAAAACGGATGCCTGTTCGGCATTCAGTGAACATTGAAGGTTTAATGTAAAAGTTATCTGGGCAAAAGTAGAAAGGTCATTTCATGGTCCCAGCTGTGGCGTAGCTCCGTGGTAACGCGCCCGCTTCACGTGCGACGGACCCAGGATAAAATCCTGAGAACACCGCAGCGGGCCATTTTTTTCGAGCATTTGGCGATATAGACGACGGACACCCTACGCCCTACTATGGCAACTACAAGGTGTCAAAAAAGGAAATTTACACGGTCTTTTTTACCGCAAAAATAATTTAGGCATCGCCGAACGCTCATTCTCCGCCCATAGGTAGAGCTAGAGGTTACAATCAGATGCCAAAGTTTCAGCCCGATCCGATAACTTAAACAAAAGTTATAAGTGATTTTCTGAAAATTTTAATGGGAAAATGGCGGCCAAATGAGTTTTCAAACACATGGGGCTCTATGGCACCAGAAACCGAAAACAAGCAAAAATGGGCTCCATTTTCTCATTGAAATTTTCAGAAAATCACATAACTTTTGATTAAGTTATCGGATCGGGCTGAAACGTTGGCATCTGGTTGTGACCTCTAGCTCTACCTTTGGGCGGAGAATGAGCGTTCGGCGATGCCTAGTTCATTTTTGCGATAAAAAAAAAAAAAAACGGTAATATTTTTTTTTTTTTTTGTGCACCCTGTATTTGAACTACAGCGACAACGGACGTCATTTCGAGTGGTTTGAAGACCCGAGAGTAACTATCGCTGTAATACAGTATGCATTAAAGATATGATTGGCACGACGAAGTGAAAGTCATGGCCATTAGGCCTGCACAGTTCGCGATTTTAGTGGCACTTTTTTTTTTAGTGCCTGTCATTTTTTTTTATCCTCTGTAGATTGCAGTGATTGGCCCTCTGCTCGCTTTGAAAAGAGGTAGAGTTTGTTTTAACGGGAACTGTTTACTGATTCAAAGGTTATTAAAACTAAAAAACTTCACAATAAGGGTCAATATTACCTCTAAATACTTAATATGTAAGGATAAGAAAACGGAGTACTTTCACAGACAACCACACTATCATTTAGCAACGACGAATGTTTATTTCCGGACACTAAAAATTTGCGCGTTGACCAGAACGGGCGACGGCTGAGTGAAAGGAGGTTACGAACGGGAGCGCTAATAAGGATTCAGTCACCGTATCGGTGATTGCCCACGTTTATGATTTTTCTGGCTCTGGCTCTGGCCTGAAAAATTCTATAGCACGTCTTTTCAGGGTTCACGATGCATATTGCCGCGTGCCCAGCAGGCAGCGCGGTCGTAGCCTAACGGTTATCGCGCTTGCCTCCCACGCGAAGGGCCAGGGTTCGATTCCTGGCCGCGGCTATGCATTTTTGTTAACACTGTAATGTGATGTTCTGGTGAAATCGAGAACCGTCTAGCTGATTTGAGGTCAGAATGTTCTACGCGTCGAACCTTCTACATCGAATGCTCCAGAAGCCAACGTTAGAAGGCATCGAGCGAGTCATCGAGTGATGACTCGCTCGATGCCTTCTTGCACTTGGACTAGTACTGCGCCCAGTCCCGCGTTACTTGCGTCCGTGTGAATTTCTGTTTCCGCATCCTGGTCGAAATGTCCAAGCACAGGAGGAGTCTGGAGTCGTCGTTTCAGTTCGTCGAATGCCTGCTGTTGCTCCTCGGCTCATTTGAACTTCTCGGCGTCCTTCGTGAGATTCGTAAGTGGTGCGGAAATCCTTGCGAAATCCCTAATGAAGCGTCGATAATAGGCACAAAGTCCAAGGAATCTTCGCACGGCCTTTTTTTCTGTCGGCGCTGGAAATGCCGCGACGGCGCGAGTCTTTTCGGGGTCTGGGCGGACGCCGTCGTTACTAACCACGTGGCCAAGGAACTTCAGTTCGTCATAGGCGAACCGGCACTTTGACGGCTTGAGTGTGAGTCCGGCGGTCTGAATGGCTTGAAGAACAGCTCGGAGTCGTCTCAAGTGCTCGTCGAAGTCAGCTGAAAATACTACGACGTCGTCAAGGTAGACGAGACAACTCTGCCACTTCAGTCCTGCCAGTACGGTGTCCATGACACGCTGGAAAGTTGCTGGCGCTGTGCATAGTCCGAAGGGCATCACCTTGAACTCGTACAGTCCATCCGGCGTGACGAAGGCTGTCTTCTCTCGGTCCCGTTCGTCGACCTCAATTTGCCAGTAGCCGCTCTTCAGGTCCATCGATGAAAAGTATCGAGAGTGGCGCAGCCGGTCTAGAGTGTCGTCGATGCGGGGGAGTGGGTAGACGTCTTTCTTCGTAACCGTGTTGAGCTGCCGGTAGTCCACGCAGAACCGAAGAGTTCCGTCCTTCTTCTTAACCAGCACGGCTGGAGAGGCCCATGGACTGCTTGAAGGTTGGATTATGTCGTCATTCAGCATCTCTTGAACTTGCTGATAGATCACCTCCCTTTCCTTAGCGGGGACTCTGTACGGCGATCGATGCACAGGGCGCGCGTCGTCCTCGGTAACGATGCGGTGCTTGGCAACCGCGGTCTGGCGCACCTTCGACGACGTCGCAAAGCAGTCGCGGTATTCGGCGAGGAGGTTAACCAGCTGGCGCCGTTTAGGGTCCGGAAGCTTAGGGTCAATGTCGAGCTGCGCTGGCGACGTACTGTCTTGCTGGGGCGGCGAGGATTCGTCAGTAATCGCGGTGATTTCGGCGGGGTCTCGGAGTTTCTCGACGTGGCCCACGGCTGCACCTTTCGTGAGGTGTTGCGTTTCGTTTCGGAAGTTCGTCACGAGGGCCACAGTCCGCCCATCCTGAAGTTCAGCTACTCCCCTTGCGACGCCTATGCCTCTTCCCAGGAGCAATTGGAGGCTTCCCTCGAGAAGAACTTCGCCACAGGAAGCTTCATCGATCCCGACAAGTACGAAAACACTCGACAGCGGTGGTAGGTTTACGTGATTTGTGAGGGCTCGGACCGTGGGTGACGTCGCTTGGGGTTCCTCCGCTGGTGGAGCAGGTTTTCATAGTGTCAGCCGGTTTGTTCCGAGGTCGATGACGGCGCCATACTCGCAGAGAAAGTCCATTCCGAGGATAACGTCCCTCGAACAGTCTTGCAGAACGACGAACTTGACAGGGCACGTTTCACCGTGGATCTCGACGCGAGCAGTGCATCTCCCGACTGGTGTGATGAGATGTCCTCCAGCGGTTCGTATTTGGGGTCCTTCCCACGGCGTCATGACTTTTCGAAGGCGGCGGGAGAGCCTCCCACTCAAGACTGAGTAGTCTGCTCCGGTGTCCACGAGTGCCGATGCGTCGTGGCCGTCGATGACGACGTTTAGGTTGTTGGACACCGTTGCAGGCGCGTCGTAGCGATGCGTGGCGTCGGGAGAGTGGGAGCGCTCCGGCGTTCTTGGAGGCTCTTTACTCGGGTCGTCTCCGGCAACGGCACCTCCAGGCGTTGCCGCACTTAGTTTTCCCGACGAGATAGGGGGGACAGGCTGTCACGGCGCGATCGACGGAAAGGCGACGCGGAACGTCGGGGGGATGGAGAACGGGAACCTCGTGGTGCGGTGGGCGCTGGTGACGGAGGGCGACGGAGGTATTCCTCGATGTCCCTTGGTCGTTCTCCAAAACGAGGTCGACGGTCGTTTGGAGCGAATCCTCGCAGGCCGAGCTGGCGGTAGGGGCACCTCCGGTAAACGTGGTCAGCCTCCCCGCAGTGGAAGCACACCGGGCGTCCGTCATCCGTGCGCCACACGTCGGTCTTTCGAAGTCCACGCTGCTCTTAGCGCGGCGCGTACTGCGGCGAAGAGACTTCTCGTTGGGGTGCAGATGGGTACTGCCGAGCAATAGGAGGCTGCGGACGACGAACAACGGCAGCATAGGTCACAGCTGGTGGTTCCGGTGCGGCGTCGGCAAGAACGTCTGGCTGGAGCGCTTGCTGGACCTCTTCTCGAACAATCTCGGCGATCGAGAGTGAAGCTGGACGTTCGGCGGCAGGTATCAGCTTCTTCAGTTCCTCACGGACGATGTCCCGGACTATTTCTCGGATCCCCGGAATATTGGAGCTGAGGGCGCAGCTTGACGGCGTAGGTGCAGCGACGGCAGGGGCTCGATGGAAGTGAGCGGCTCGTGCTTGCAGGGCCCGTTCAATGTTGGTCGCCTCTGTTACAAACGTCTCGACAGTGGTTGGCGGGTTGCGGACGAGGCCTCCGAAGATGTCATCTCGTACACCTCGCATCAGGATCCGCAACTTCTTTTCGTCGGTGGCTTCAGGGTCGGCGCGAGTGACCAGGCGCAGGACATCCTCGACGAAACTGGTGATGGTCTCGTTTGCGCCCTGGGTTCTCATTCGAAGAAGGTCCTCGGCCCTCTCCCGTCGATACTGGTTAGTGAAAGTTCGCCTCAACTCATTCTTGCAGGCGGTCCACGAGATCAATGATGTCTCCCGATTCTCGAACCAGTGCCTGGCCGTTCCTTCGAGCGCGAAGTAAAGGTTCTGCAGGCGCTGGTCCTCCGTCCATCGGTTGTGCTGGGCCACCCGCTCGTACTGTTGAAGCCAGTCCTCGACGTCTTCGTGGGCGTCCCCGTGGAATGGCGTCGGAGTCCGAGGTGCGACTGGCAGGTAGATGAAGGCAGGAGCGGCCGGGGTCTGCGACTGCTGGCCGTCCATCGTCGGCTTCGTTGGCTGCTTGGTCCTGGGTGGCAGAAGTCCGTATTCCGGGTGTAGACCTTGGGTGCGGCGACTGGTCCGAGTTTCAGGTTCCGCGTCGGGTGGTCTTCTCACCGGGCTCGGAATCGGGCTTGCACTGCGGGCCCTGGGAGGGGAACGCTGCACGGGCATGCGCTACCCCGCACCTTCACCAAAATGTCACGGGTGGTGACCAAAAATTAGGAAATAAACAGGAAGAAATAAACGTTTAATGTGGCGAACTTGTGCAAAAAAAATAAAAGGGGTACAACGATAATAACAGAGCGTCGCGGGCATCGAAGTCGGCGGAGCAGCACAGTCGAACGCTGGGGCGAAACTGGCTCCGGCTTGCCCGCGGAGCCGCTTTTGTACACACGTCGGCTTCTGGAGCATTCGACGTAGAAGGTTCGACGCGTAGAACATTCTGACCTCGAATCAGCTAGACGGTTCTCGATTTCACCAGAACATCACATTACAGTGTTAACAAAAATGCATAGCCGCGGCCAGGAATCGAACCCTGGCCCTTCGCGTGGGAGGCAAGCGCAATAACCGTTAGGCTACGGCCGCGCTGCCTGCTGGGCGCGCGGCAATATGAGACGTTCTGTTTTGCTTTTTCGATGACGAATGTTTCAATGATTTCCCATCCGAATCACTGAGGATATGTTTGTTCCCAGGACCTTGGTACAGTCAAATTTTGGTACACACCCAATACACTTCTTCGCATGAGAAGCGATGAAATCTGTACGATGGTCGGTTTTTGATGTTGCCTCGTTTTGATGCACTCGTGGACGGTCTTTTATGCAACGACCAGTTTGGCCAATGCATTCAGCTCCGTACTTGAGGAGCATCGAGAACACCTTCTCAGTCGCACATTCTCTGAAGTGGGTGTGGTGTTTGTTATCGAAGGGCGGCTTGGCCTCCTTCCGGTTGACTAAATGAAAGAGTGTGGTTGTCTGTGAAAGTCCTCCGTGTTGTATTCCTTCTAAATTAAGTATTCATAATCGCACCACTCTCGCCTTAACCAGTCCTCCTCTAAAGATCACAAGCACGTCCGATCACGGCTGTTTCTGATGCACATGTGTTATTAACTTATCCAATTGATCAAGCAGTTCAGCTGAAAATTTGCTGTACGCCATTGGAAGCCACTGATCCACTTGACCATGAGCCTTCGATGACCTTAAGCTTTGGAGCTCATTTTTAATTTACGCGAATCGTAATAAAAACGCCTAAATTTAGAAATCACACGGCACGCAATTCTAGGGTGTACCTGCATATAAAATAAGAAGGATACAACTAAAAGGTATTCGCAACTTTCACGATCTATAGAGGGCGCGCTGAAGCCTATAAAAATGCTGGTGTCATCTGGGTGACCGACGTTCGAAAGCTGTACGCGGTTAGGTTAATGACGTCTCAAGAATTCTACCTTGACTTGATACGAGTGAGTTTAGACCATACATTATTTGTGTATGTCAAAAAACCAAGAAACTAGACAGCGATATTGTCACACCGTAGAAACACCGTAAGTTGCGAATGGCAGTCCGTGTCCTCATTATTTACGGAAGTCCAGTAGGTACGAAATCTTTCGGCTTACAATACCAACACTGTATTACAAGGAGCATCAGTGTCGTAAGAGTAAGTACTACAGGGTCAACCTGCACCGTCTCACCCTCCCGCTGGAAGGACTTTCCTCCCCGACGATGACCTTCATGGTGGTCGTCTTGCCTGCCCCGTTGGGCCCTAGCAGGCCGAAGATGTCTCCCGTGTCGATGGCCAGGGACAGGTTGTGGATGGCCACCTTCACGCTGTGCCGGGGCCGGCACTGGCTCCCTCCTTCGTACACCTTGCGCAGCTCGTGCACGTACACCACGGGAGGCTGCGTTCATCGTTCATAAGCGTTCGCAGACTCTTCCAGCGACAGCCACTGAGGAACAACCTCACCCGTACTCGGCACGCCAGATTAAGACACGCCGGACATCGTAATTCAATGTAACCAATGGATAAATAAGTTCACTTTACTTTGGAAATGCCAATCTTCCAAGAGAAGCACCTATACAAAAAGACAAAAAAAAAAGTAACGCCAGATAGGTTTTTCCTCGGTATGCAGACTTCGCACGTATCCTATCACGCGAGCCGAACGATAACGCCCCAAAACATTCATTGAAAACCCATATCATTGTAAAAATCTTTATTAAATCTGTATTGCTGACCTGAAACATGAATATATGATTTAACATTCGTTGGCACGCCTCAAAAATAAAAGAATCTTTTTTTGTACACCCCAGGTAAGAAGAACATATTTCACTTCCAACCGATTCACCCAGGCATGTAAGTGTCAACATGGTAGAGCTTTGATTGGGCAGAAGACGTCAGGAGCTCTGTGATTAGTCAACCTCCTGGGCCCGTTTGCTCGAAGCGCTAACCGCGGCTAAAGTTAGCCGCAGTACCCAGGAGAGAGATTTCGAAATCACGTGACTGGCTCGGTAGGGATGCGGGGAAACATGGCGGTACCCCGGTGAGTGAGCGCCGCTCGCTTTGGAACTAATATGTCGTTGTAGCTGCAATATCGGGCGCGTTAGTCAGCAACGAAAAGTGCATGAGGCTTTCGCTTTGCCTTATTTCACTTAAATCGCAAAGCATAAGGAATGACCTCGCCGCATTTTTTAGATAGTCTTTCAATTCTGGACATTGCTAAGCCTAAATGAACGCGATAATTGTCGGCATGGCAACGTCTGTGGAAAGTGGATTGCCTTGACTCAATCGACCGGGTAGTTACACACGTTGCACGTGCTAGCGTCTGCAGTAGTAATTGTTCTAAAGCAAAAAGTCTAAAACAAAGTTTGCCTTGCACGCTCGTTCGTCAGAGCCTTATTATGATTATTTACTTCGACTCTTTTATAAGAGGAAGGCCAGCGCGAGCGGACCATAGAATTACACCTCCACCGTTCTCCTCGATGCTTGGGTTTTGTGTGCTATCAATTCGTTCGTGCTAACGAACGAATTGTAGCTCGAGGAATAGCAAAGGTAAGACGTAAGGTGCGCGAAGTAACTGGGTACCGGTTGTCTCAGTTTAACATCGCAGTGCCGACGATGAGAAGACTGAATGACTGCTTTCGAAACGCAAGTTTCTTTACCTGAGGGGGGAAACCGACTTCGGAAATAAACACAGTTCGCGGAAAGCTCGTGTTACGCTTTTATTTGCTGCTGCTCTCGATCCGTACAATAGACGTAGCGTCCTCGTTAAGCCTTATTGAGCTCGATTTGCTCAATTCGGGGCCGCCATAGTGAGAAGCAGGCGACGGAGGAACTTTGCTCCCCTGCTTTCAGGACGAAAGTTTCTCCCTTTCTGAAGGAACATATATGTGTCAAGAGCGTTCCTCTCTTTTGGGGAGGACTATAGTGACCCTTTTTTCTAAAAGTGCATTTTCCATAAGCTCCAAATTCTGCGAACTACTGTCTGCGGAGGCTAATGTTATATTTGCTTTTGCGTGCACTTGTTTTGGCCATTTCCTTTGCAACTCTCTCATTTATCAGTCATGCGCTCTAACATTTTCTTAGGCTGCCGCATATAATCGCGAGACTGTTTTATATATGCATACTACACATCTTTACAACTTGGATAATATCCAATGGATGTCTACTTTTGCTTGAGTTGGGAACATCGCATTTCACTACGAAATTAACTGTTTACATGCTTTGCACGTGACGTCATCGCACTCTATACTGGTGGTCATCGCGATTTGTTCTTGCGGAGGAATAAAACCTGGTAATGCAAAATGCACGCTGGAGAAGGCATGCGTTCAGCAGCAAGGCCGCCGCAGTAGCAGCTAATGTAAGGTCAGTGCACGTCATGTATTTGAGATGCACACATTATTATTGCTTGGTGCAGCATTGTGAGGAACGGGACGAGCGCACTCTAAAAAAAAGGGTATCACCTTACACCCTTTTGTCCCATATAATGCACCCCAAAACTTCATTTCGACGTACAGCGCCCTATAGTCGAACAGACGGCACGAAATTTTACCAGGGGCTTGATAACGGTGCGATATAACTTATTAAATTGCTAAAGTACGTATCAAAGACCAAAGAAAGAAAACACGGAGTTTTTGCAGTACGGCCAAGAAAAGTCCGACAATCTTTTTTGTAGTCAATAATACGTACCTCAGCTATCTTAATAAGTTGTACCACACGGCTATCAAGCCCCTCGTAAACTTTGGGGACGCCTGTTTGATTATGGGGCGCTGTACGTCGAATTGAAGTTTTGGGGTGTATTATATGGCACAAGGGGTGTAATATTACACCTTTTTTTCTGAGAGTGCATCTGCCAGCACAAAACGCGCTTTCTGGCAAGAATGCTTTTGAAAACTAAGCAGTTTTTGAGGCCACGCTCTCCTGTCTTTGTGGTAGACGTGGGGCCGAGGAACCTCTACAACACTGATGTTTTTGAAACTACCAACTCCTCCTTTTCTTTTTTCGTTGCTCTGTCAGATAACACTTCTTATTCTTGAGGGAGTGTTGACCCTCCTTCGTTTGGGGATGTTGATTCGACAATTACATTTGTGTTACCTGTTAACAGTAGTCCTCCAGTGCTCTTGTTTCGCACCCAAAAACTGTAAAGTTTAAACGAAGTACCGAGATGGTGGAAGCTTGCACTCTCAAAAAAAAGGGTGTCAAATGTGTATTCTTATACCATTTGTCCCATATAATACACCCCCAAACTTCAATTCTAGGTACAGCGCCCTACAGTCGAACACACGGCCCGACATTTTACGAGGGGCTTGATAGCCGTGTGGTGCAACTTATTAAAATAGATAATGTGCGTTTTACTGACCACAAAAGAAATAATTGGAGTTTTCTTGGCCCTACTGCAAAAACGCAGTGTTTTCTTTATGCGGTCTTTGATGCGTACTTTAGTTATTTAAAATGTTGTACCACACGGCTATCAAGTCCCTCGTAAAATTTCGGGCCGTGTGTTCGACTGTAGGGCGCTGTACGCCGAATTCAAATTTTGGGGTGTATTATATGGGACAAAGGGTGTAAGAATACACCTTTTGACACCCTTTTTTCTTGAGAGTGTGGGGACGAACGTGAGGACGACACTCCTGTGAGACGTCGGAGCGGCTGTCAACGGCTGTCCCTCTGAGGTCACCAGGATCTTTCTTTCCCGGTATCCTTCCTGTACTCACTTGTAGTTATGTATAACGTCAGATTAATAAGTTATATTTAGTCCTTCCAATGCTTCTATTTTCGGGAAACAATCATGTGGTCATTCAGCAAAAACGAGAGCATGTTGGTGTCCCAGTGATGCGTAAATGTAAAGTGGGTCGTGCAACACTTTTCGTACTGCGATACACCCATTGGGTCTCCTCACCGCGCAACAACAGACGCAAAAAAAAGGCTTTCCCTTTTATAACTTGCAATTAACACCCCATGATCTGGCGCTACTTATAGGCCATCATTGCTCATCATAGTCATGCGCTGGGGGTGACAAAGCATAGAGCATAGGCTCAGCTTCAGACAGTGTTTGAAGAAACCCTTCAGCGGAGCGGAAAAGAAGACGAGGAGGTTCGGGGACTGGGCCCGAGCGCGAGCTACAATTTCTATCGGGGATTTTCGTTCGGAACTGGGAAGTGTGAGTAACGCAGCTACCGGTGATTAAAGTAGTATTTTTTCTTGTAGTCATCAACGCTTGTGACACCTTCTCATCTGGCCCATCGTACAGTCCTGATCCCGGGTTTCGGCACCAAGTGTGAGTAACGCAGCTACCGGTGATTAAAGTAGTGCTTTTTCTTGTAGTCATCAAAGCTTCGGCTCAATGGTTTCGACATTCTGGTGCCGAAACCCGGGATCAGGACTGTACGATGGGCCAGATGAGAGGGTGTCACAAGCGTTGATGTAACGAGGCTACAGGACAAGACACCATCCAGCTCGAGAACGCAAGGGACCATAACGATGCTGCCATGGATAGGCTGAAACAGAAGCGAAAAGCCCTGCGTTCACAGGTAACAAAGCTGCTGACGGAAATCGACACAGCTACCCAAACCAAACTGCCGATTGAGGAAGAGCCCAACGTCTTGCTGACTCGTCTCAACGCGCTACATGGTCAGCTTACCGAAACGGGCTCTGCCCTCGAACCATTGTTGGCAGCAAGTGACATCGAACAAGAGTATGCTCGGACCGTCGAGTACAGCGATCGTATCGTCACCTACTCGGCAAGACTGACCTTCAAGGTGCGGACCCTACACGAAAGAGCGAGTACAAGCGGTCAAGAAATCGCAGCAAACCACCGCAGTCCCACTTTGTCAGTCAAGGTCAAGCTACCAAAACTTGAACTCTTGAAATTCAACGGACAACGTCAACAATGGCAGCCCTTCTGGGAGCAATTCGAGCAGGTCATCCATGGTAACCCAGAACTGTCATCAGCCGAGAAGTTCCACCACCTCAGATCGGCGTTGTCGGGAGAGGCTGCTGCAGCGATTGCCGGATTGCCACCGACGGCCAGCTGGTATGAAGATGCGCGGGAGATCATAAAGTCCCGTTACGGCGACGAGGCGCTGCTAGTAGATGACCACATGATGAAACTAGCAGAACGGCAGCCAGTTCGGACCTCGCAAGACGTCCGAGGACTACGACGACTACACGATGACCTCCAAGCGCATATAAGAGGACTTAAGTCTCTAGGGGTTAACGAAGATTCTTATTCGACTCTCCTTTGCCCCCATGTACTTCGGCTGTTTCCAGAAGATCTTGTGCTAACCTTCCACAGAAATGTCGTTCGGAAGAAAGAACAGCGTCGCCCGGACGATGTGGCTGTAAACGCGGCTGGCGAAGGAAACCGACACGCTGTAGAACAGTCCCAGGTAAGGCAACTACCAT